TGTTAGCAACTTCTATCTCATGTTATTTGTTAGATATAACATATTTGTGGGATTAACCCAAAATATATACAGCGGTTTCTGATTGACAAGTTAGTGTCTGTTTCGTGTGTTATTTTGGAACATTTTCCTGTCGTACATGGTTGTGACAATACGTCTCTGTTCAAAGTTTGGTTGGAGTTAGGCAGGGATTAGCGAATAATTCGAAGTGTCGTTACTTAAAAAGGGTAGGGGTGCGATGGGATTTTCAAGCCAAAACTTCGATCGGTCAAAATTTAGCAGTTAGATGTATATCGTCTGTTTTTGCGGACATCCTAGAGAATTTGATTCAAACCTCCGGTTAACCCTTACCAAACGTGGAGCAACTTAGGCCTGGTTTTCTAATTTTGATTTGGTGTTACATTAACTACGTGTACTCTAGAGGTAGATTGTGGTCGAGTTGTTGCTTTGTATTAATTCATTTGCTATGTGGTATTTTGCCACTATATGGTAGTTGCCAGAAATTTATGCCTTGTTCCATTTCCTCACCAACAGCTTTAAGCAGCCAAGAACATACTGTAAGATAGACTCAGTCCATTTAAGATGTTTTCTCGTTGTAACCGTGTCTTTGTGATCAATTTAAATGTCATCGGACCACATATGCCAGCCTCGGCTGTCAATAAACCCTAGTATGAGTGTATTGACAGACAAAGCATGTACTTGTGGTCGGACATTGACCCATTAACTAACGGGTCCTTCACACGATCAGTGACAAAGCTGTACCTCAGATATCACCTTCAATGTCCTTCCTTTATTCGTTTCTCTACTTTTTATCCAAATTTGACGGTATTTTATCTCACCTGGTCCGAAGGACTGACATACCCGATTAGTCGCTGTCACACCGCTTGCCATGCTGACTGTTCATGTCTCTCGGTCAATTCCCTCTACATGGAGGTCTGAGAGGTGCGCGGCTGTCCCAGGCCTAGGTTGTTCAACTGTGGACAGTTCAAGGCTAAATGTCCATTCTCATTGCATGGCTGACAAATTTGTTGTGACACGGGTTGAACTGGTGCTGACAACTTGCATAACTTCAAATTGTGCCCATTTTATTTGCGTACGTCACGTACAGAGTAAGGCACCGACAGTCCTGCTATAGTCACAGATAGGTCTGATATGTCAAACACCACAACATTTGAAACATGTTTTCACTGTGTCGTTTCTAATTTTAAAGCGCTGTTTTGGTCGGGAATCTGCAACCAGTCGATCACATATCTGACTAAGGATTTTGACAGTGTTTAACTATCATTGGTCTTCTTGGCTGCATTGACAAATGGGAGAACAACATCATCTTGTATTTCATGTATTTCTTTACGATGTCCAAAGCTCCCTCCAACTTTATCTTAGTGTAGTGCTTCTCTGAAGGCCAATACACGTCCTGCTCATGATATTGGTTGGAATGGTAGCTATTCGAAAAACTTGAAATTCATATATGTCTCTTTCACATTTCTGTAATCACTGACCTTTCCTTACTAGGACTGCGTGGACATCGTCGATACTCCGGTGGTTGCGATCACTTTCGCTCTCTGCACTCCTGGACATGTCATGATGGCGGGTCCAAAAGGGGGTATTTTTTCATGTTCTTGAAAGTCCTACTTATCTGACAGGAAAGGTTGGAATTTAACCAGATTTGATCTGGGGCATCCTTGGGTGGAGAGGAATCCCAAATTTGTATAAGTTTTGGTTCTTGGGCTCAAGCCTGGGGCGTGACCCAAAAGGGGAAAAGAGCAAATCCTTTCAAATACTACTCCTCCTGTAGGAATGGATATTGCCAAAATTTTGTCTGAAGTATTTTTCTGTGAAAGGGAATCATTCCTGTGTAAACGTTAGGTCTCGGAGGGATGGGGCCCAATACGGGAAATAAAGTAAAGTTTTTAAAATTCTGCTCCTCCTGAAGGAATGATTGAATCTTAGGGGAATCAGTGTTAACTGGTGCGTCTCGATCCCCTTTGGGCGGATGGGGCCAAATTGGGAAAATGTAAGTTCTTTAAAATCCTTCTTACGTACAAGGACATTGTGCAAGTTTGATCTGGCGCAATTTTAATGAATATATTAAATCTGACTTGTATTGGACCACAAGGCCGGAACCCAAAAGAGAAATTGTTTTATGAATCATCTGTCATATTTGAAACTCTTTGTTAAATGACTGAATAGCTTAAGTAACCTTGTGAGCGATGCAGACCTCTTGGGCCTCTTTGTAATCATGTCAAGAGGAAACGACTTTTCCCCTTCCTTATCCCCAGGCCTCTCGTGCGGCTTGCGCTTCACTTCAAATTCAAATCTTTCAGGGCCAGGATTTTGAGATGAAGTGGTAAATATCTTGTTTGTTTATACTAAATTGGTCGGAAAGAACTGAAGTATCTTTTATCACATGCGGTATTATACTATAAAACACAAGTGTCCAGACCTCTAGCCTCTTTGGCATTTACATTTCCGTAGCTATCAAATTGTTCACACTATATTCCGTGAACGTGGAATCTGGTTTAGTCTGCGCTAGAATCTTCGTTTAAACAAACTAGATATATAAATGTACGAGTAAAGTCTGTAAATGAATAATTACCTTAGTTAATTCTCTTATCAGGATATACATGTACGATAAGTATTGTTCTTATCAATTTTCAGAAACACAAATGTACACATATATATCAAAATAAACTTGAAAAGCACGTAGATTAGGCAATAGAGCTTTCATTTCTGGATCTTCATGGTATTTCACTCTATAAATAGTATATTAGATGAATTGTTACTTGACATATACATAACTGTATATACAATAAGCTCTGATGTCTTTATAATTATAAGAAGTTTTGCTGGCTTTCATTTGTCAACGTCATGTAGGGGGCGTCTTACTGTGACATCTTGTCAACATCGTAAACACGATTGAAACTCACCTTGAACTTGAACTATCTATCTCATCCCCTTGATTTTCCGCTTGGTGTTTCAAGGATTGTGCATTGCAACAGCTGTTGCTGATGTTGATCAACCGATGCGAATGTGGGTGTAAATTTAAGAGACGACAGTGGTTGAGATCGTTTCTAAATACATGAAGATCATTTTACGTCATTAACGCTAGAGTTGTGTTAATTATACATGTATCGATCTATTTATTAATATGTTGGATTTTTAACGGGCACGAATACTGTGCTGTGTAGAAATGCTACGACTAAGCCCCTGAAAACACATCGGACTTTAATTAATACTCGAGCTTACATATATTATGTTTAAAAAAGTGGCGAAACGTGAAAAGATCCAGAATAATTTACCAGAAATGAACTGAAATCACAAAATTCACCTTGGAGACGCGTTCGCACTGTATAAATAGTACATTACCTACATCCCAAATGATAATTTCATATTCAGCATTCCCACACTTTTTTTTTTGTCGTATTTCATAATGCACTTGAAATTAGGAACACTGTGTAAAATTATTCCGAAATTGTCTTGTTTTCAATTCTCATCAAAGCAGGAAATCACAGATCTGACAAGTAGAGTAATTAGTGGGGAAGAGTAATTAGTGTCAGAGAGCGTGTGTAAATTTCATCAGCTTTTTGTTGAGTTTTGTTTAATTATAGCCGTAAGCATTACGACTCACCCTTGCAATATCGATGTAACAATGGTCTTAACAATACAACCATGTGCGCGCTTACACCCTTGAGCTACAATAGTGACACGACATATTTTATAAGCCAAACATTTCAATCAGTATTTTGGTTGCCATTTATGTTAAAACTTTCGATCATTGAATTTTTGGCAGCGGAGTCGACTTCGAAAACGTACTTGTTGGTCATAGGGACATCATTCAGCCAGTTGACTACGATAAGTCCCCGATTTTCCTTTGCTTATTCAATTAGGCCTACTCGACATAGAGCCAACCTATAATCGTGTTCTTTCTGACATCTCTGCTACGACACGGAAAGGTCTAAAAACGTGAAATTATAAACAAAGTTCCTAACGATAAATTAGAATGGTATTCTCTCTAGAATATATCAATACAATTTCTTTCTAGAATACATTTATAAAATGTTACTCAACAACATATTTATAAAATGTCATTCTAGAATATATATTCATAAAATGTCACCCTAGAATATCTTGATAAAGTGTCATATAATATCCATTCATAAAATGTCATATAATATCTATTCATAAAATGTCACCCTAGAATATATCTAAGAAATGTCACAACAGTCATTAACGGGGTTTTTTGCTCGAGTTCAAAATATAATTATACTCTTTTTTAATACAGATAGAGAATAAAGAAAAATATTTTGGAGTCCTTCAGCTTGAAACAATGGTCAATTAAATTTGTAAATATGTGGAAGTAAATTCATCTAACATCTGACCAATAACTGTATGTTATCACAGACAAGAGAACGAAATTGTAAATAGAGACGCAACGCTGTGACAAAAAAAAGGCGAGTTTTTGTCAACTTGACCACAATATTTCGTTGAAAACTTATTATTTAGAAACGTCCCTATATGCATAGAATCTACCTAATGCATAAACCCTATTAATTGGCTTATGAAAATTAAATGCCATTGCATGTAGATACAGATTGTCAACGTTTTACATGCACTATAAACATTCCAATTCGACATAAAAAATTTCAATCATTTAGACAATGGTACATTAGAAATATCGGTCGACCTGGTCGGTTCGGGTTTAGGTTGATCAACACCGGTCGGATCTGGTTTGGCATTGTTTCACTGTACAACTTGAATGGTTAGTCCTCTACAGAAAGTAGTTCTTATATCATTTACGTAACATTAAAGAGACACCGCTTTTTGAAAAACATTGTTGAGTCATATTCAAAGAAAAGATGATTAGATATTCAAATTAAGTCATAAATATGAAAATAGATTATAAACAGCACGTAAACAGTTGGCTACATGCCAAACATTGCACGCGGATGAATACAATAGTGCGACAGCACATTTAGCTGAAACGCAAACAAACACCTCTAGGACATCGGGGACATACATAGTGCTTGGAACTGGTATAAATTGTTGAACAGAAACGTCTGTACAACCACATCAAGTTCTGCTCTCGATCTGCATAGTTTCTTGAATTTATCTTTATTTTTTCGCGAACTGAAAACTTCAGGACTTTCTACTTTGTGGACCGGAAGTTTAGTACTTGGTCAACATTTCGTCTTGCATCATGTTTTGACAAAAGCACAGGGGTGATACGTGTTACCCCAGGATTTACTGAAATCCTAAAGAGAAAATCCACTACCAAGGAGAACAACCTTTTAAACACAAAATGGAAGTTGTAAGTGAAATCACATTTTTTTTAGATATTCCTATTTGCACTATGTGATTGTCGATGACCTTATAGGGTGGGAGTATGTAATACAGTATACAAGTAATAATAGAGGGTGTACGGTTGCCTTATGATAAAAGATATAAATATTTACTTTTTCCTTTACCATGGACCAGGCAATTTTCAAAAATAATGGGACATATTTATTTACATAATATATCTACCTGCATTACTGTACTGTACAGTAATGGAAGTGGAATATTATGTAAATAAACATGACCCATTATTTTTGTAAGTTACCGTAAGATTATAATATATACGCTCCTTTTTTCTGTATGTTCTCTATTAGAACTTGAAAGAGAAAGCTTTCTTATGGTAAGGGTTTGATAGGTTGCACAATCTCCATCCCACTGACGACATTATCATTAGCCACTACTTTTGGCACAATTGGACTTGACATGAATCAATTAACCTTTTTAAGCAGAAGTTAGACATTAGATTGGATTTGGCTAAAACCTGTAGTTGTATAATGCAATAATTAGTTAAAATGTTTTCTGTTTTCTTATTCAGTCGCCCATTCTGAAATCCTTCCTGGCAGGCACCTTTAGTGGATCATGTTCTACATTGCTGCTCCAACCACTGGACCTGGTGAAAACTCGTATACAAACTTCAGTCACATTCAAGTGAGTAATATACTTGATTCAGAACATCTTTTGGAAGATGGTCCAAATTTTTCATTGTAGACTGCAAGATAATGTTATCACATGTATTGGAATTAAACAAGAAATGATTCAAAAGAGTTGTGATGTTATGTTAACTCCTGGAAAAAAAATGGATTAATATTTTAGTATCCTTTATTACAGCACTCCAGGAATGGTAACTGTGGCACTTGGAGTTGTTCGTCAAGATAAACTTCTTGGGCTTTGGAAAGGATTGATGCCAGTAAGTTTTTGTGTTGAAATAATTCATTGTGTGAAATTATCATAATTTTTATGATCAATTTACATAGTATTCAACATGTTTGTATCCCAATTGTTAACATGTATTCTTGCTTGTTTACAGTCATTTTCAAGGGCTGTTCCTGGTATTGGATTTTACTTCACTTCAGTTCACTATCTGAGAAGTAATTATGGGTGAGTTAACCAGAGTTTCACTCATGTTTTTATTTCTGTAATAACAATATTTTACCAAAAACATTATCTTCAGCTGGTTGAATGTGGTCTTTGTGTCATGAAGTTACACTTGAAAAGGAGTCAGTAGGGAATGACGGGAACTTTTGCAATCCCAATCTTATGTGCATGACACATATGTGTTAAGATATTGTTATAATTATGAAATAACTGATGATGTAAATTTTGTTGAATTGCAGATCAGATAAACCCTCATTAGCAGAGTCGGCAGTAACAGGAATGTGTGCCAGGGCGATGTCTGGCATTATGGTAATCCCCTTCACTGTGCTGAAAACCAGATATGAGGTATATACTATAATCTAATTATACAGGCTTTGTAAAACAACACTAGTATTAAAATGGTGTGGCATTAATTCATGATTTTTATTAGCAAATTAATTTCAATACAGACCTTGGATTTCAGAGTGGACTTTTCAGCTACCACAATGGTTTGGCCAATGCCTTGGTATTGACCTACAGAACAGAAGGCTGTCGAGGTGAGTTAAGTAGTTTGATGTAGTTACCTACTCTTCATTTTGTCAGAACTGGATATTATTTTGAATTTTTTTGTCTCTGGTGAAAGTGAAAATGTTGATTTTTCTCTTTTTCATACTTGAATATCGAAAAATGTTTAAATCTTATGTAATTTTCTTTATTACCTGTTGCTTATAAAACTTTTTTTGTGTTGACAGCCTTGATCTCTGGTCTTTCTCCAACGTTAATGAGAGATGTACCCTTCTCAGGATTATACCTGATGTTCTACACCTACTTCAAACAGATTGTCAATGACAGTAAGTTTTGTGACCTTACACCTCAGTAGTTATACATGTAGTTAAGAGTATAGTTACTTAGTTCATTGGGCAACTTGAATGATAATTTTTCATTTCAGGAGACCCATGTATCATGTCAAACTTTTATGAAACTTCAATCGTTTTGAGAATTCTTCCAATATGATTTCACAAATACTTTTTAATTTTTACTGTTTGAGGTTTTGTGAATTGTTTACCTCAGATGATTCTTGTTAAATGAAAACAGATGATATCTTCTTCATGATCACAGCCACCAATTTTGATAACTGTGGTGAATTGCTGGTCTTAAGAACTTTCAGAACTACCTACAAAACAGTGATTGAAGATTTCATTAAAGAGGACTTTCACTATGAAATGTTAGGTCAATCAAATGTAAAAATGTTTTTAAAGTTTCTTGTCAGCAATTGATAGGAAAAAGATAAAAGGAAAAGTGTCTTGGCATCTCCAGTTTTTGCATCATTTGATATTTTAAACCTCATATTTCCATAGAGAACTTTCAGCAGACAATGGCAGGAAACTTGAAAACATTTGTTATTCTTTGGTTGACCTAATAACTAATGAATTGGGAATCTGAAACTTCAGAACCAGACCTAATGTAGATTTTTTTGTGTATCATTATTATAGATATGTCCTGTCCATCATAGCTCACCGTGAACAAGAGGTAAACAAACTGTTGTTTTAAACAACCACACAACACATGTGAAGGTCATAAAGGTAAATTGTGAAAGGTTATTTCAGATTTTTAGATTCAATTAATTATATTTTTGATTAAATGTTGTTGGCATACTAGCTACAACAAATATAGTCCCAAGAGTTGAGAAACCAAGAGGTAAACAAGGTTTTAGAGTCACTAATTAACAATCTAATTTCTAAGTTGACCATTTCTAACAAACATGTGCATGTTTAACATGATCTGTTGACTTTTAATGAAAACAATTGCTTTTTACAGTTTTTAGATGGAACTTCACCTAGAATAAAAAATGAATTTTCACCACTCAGGATAAAACCATATGGAGCAATTTTTTTCTCTATTCTTAGTTACAGTGCATGACATTCTACGGTACCAAAACAAGGTTGATTTTGAATTTTCTTAAATAAATATAAGTAGGTTATGCTATGACCTTATTTTTATTTGCAGACATTACAGATGAATCAAGAAGACCTGCACTTCATTTCATATGTGGCCTGAAAGCAGGAATGTTGGCTTCACTTATTACACAGCCTGCTGATGTCGTCAAGACACTCATGCAAACAGACGCCAAGAAACATGCCAAAGTGTTTGAAACTGTTTCGTATGTGTTTGAGGTGAGATACATTTCTTCACATATGGATCCATCTAAAGTCAGTCTGTAAAACACCTTCAATTAAAGAAAATGAAGAATAAAATTCAATTCCCCAAAAAGAATATTTCGTGATGTAATGTTACAAAACTTTACAGCAAAGTTGCTGTTCTGTGAACATGTGGAAGAACATTTGAAGCATAATCAAACATCTTCTATAAGTTAAAGAATAATTTTGATGTTGCAGAAATATGGTGCTCATGGGTTTTTGAGAGGTGTTGTTCCTAGAACACTTCGGAGAAGTCTTATGGCAGCACTTGCCTGGACAGTTTATGATGGGGTAAGTTATCATTTTGCCAATCAGTATAAAATCTTTGTTTTGTAAATGACATAAAATATTACTTAACTCTGTGATTGTATGAAGATGTCAATAACATTTTGATATCTTTACTTCAGGTTTCACGCAGGTTTGGACTTAAAGGATAAGAAGTCTTATGTAACCAGAATGTATTCCTACCAAGGATCTCAACATGTCGAACTAATGTACCATTTGTGTTCATATCTTTTTACAAGAGTGTAAAGACAGCTGATGAACTTTAAGCCTTACCCGAGTGTATGACTACATTACTTGTGACCAAAGAAATCTTCAGAACTGTGTTTTTTTTTGTTTTAAATGGTTGTTATGTGAACTATGGACAATACGACTGTTTGATACTGGAATTGTAAAATGTACTGACATACTTTATGAAAACAGATTTGTTGTGGGCATTTTTCAAAATTGTAATCAAAGGCTGTACATTTGACTAGTGCTCACCGCTTGTTAATCAAGATCTTATGTATATGATATTTAATGCAAAATGTCATCACCTCAAACAACTTACGTGCATATGAAACAGCATCATCACTATGAAGCAAGATATCTACTATAAATTGTGTACATACATGTGTTCAGTGAAATGTGTTTGCAGTGGATGAGCAATGGAAACAAATGTTGTTGGCATGAAGAGCATTTAACAAATTTTACCATTCATAAGACATGAAAATCAGAATTCCATTTAGTTAGTACCTGGTGAAAGGTATAGCACTGTGATGTCCATTATTGTTAGAGACAAGATTTCAAATTCTCTTGTTAAAAGTTATTTTGAGTTGGGTCATCCATAATCATGGCATATCATTTTATGATCTGTTATTTCTAATTCATTATATTAACTTTTAATATGGCAGCAATCATGGAATTATCTTGTGGATATCGCAAGATTGCGTTCATTTTTATACTTATGTCTTGTGCTGAAAATAATAAATGAATGATGGTTGCTTTTAACAGTGAGAGTTTCTGGAAACTGAGAAATTTTACAAAATAACTTTTATAAGTGTTTGAGAAATTGTGAATTGCGTTGTTTGTTTTCAGAAGAATGATTGGACAAGATGCATCATTGATAAAGAGATGAGAGAAAAAAAGAAACAAATTGTGAATATGGCTGGAATTTGATGTTTGGTTGAGTGTTCATTTCGTTTTGTTTTTGAATTTTAGCTACCAGTGTGTGCAAGATTAAAGATGTCGTGGGTTATATTTTGCTGTGTTGGACATGGGTTGCGAAATATAGACATATATTTATTTTAATATGACCAACTTGATTGATGTTTCTCTCGTTCAATTTATTGCATCTTAATATTTCATTAATTTTTATGAACTTGTTACAGTAAATTGTTTACTTGCAATCATGTCAATGAAGCATTAATATCAATTTAAATCACTACCTTTAATGTTGATGCAATCATATGAAGTCTGTGACTTTGTGTATTAGTATTGGAACTGAGTTCCAAAATATATTTTACTCATTATCTGGAGTAATCTATATCATTCCCATCTATTTAATAAATTGATTGATGTATAAAAGATTATCATTGTTCATTTATTCTTGGAACTAGCTGTGACCGAGTGTGTTAAAGATAGTTAAGAAATGAATTTCTGTGTACTAGGATACAATTACCTATTTTTCCCCTCCCTTACAGGTAACTTCATTATTGTACAACTGATGAAATTTCAATTCAAAACGGCTTCAACATGTTATTTTTGTTCTTCAATGTAAGGGAGAGCACTGTGTTGAACAAACATATCTCGTATTTATTCCTACATTTTTAGCCCACCATCATCAGATGGTGGGGTATTCAAATCGCCCTGCGTCTGTGGTCCTCCGTCCGCAAACAATTCTTGTTACCGCTATTTCTAGGAAAGTACTGGATGGATCTTTCTCAGATTTCATATGCAGTCTCCCCTTTGTCCCTAGTTGTGCATTGTACCTTTTTTGGACTGATCTGAAATCAAGATGGCTGACAGGCAGCCATCTTGGATTTTGAGAGTAAAATCTTGTTACCGCTATTTCTGAGGAAGCACTGGATGGATACTTCTGATATTTCATAGGTACTGGTTTCCGTTGGTCCCTAGTTGTGCATTGTACTTTTTTTGGACCGATTTGAAATCAAGATGGCCCACCGGCAGCCATCTTGGATGTCGACAGTAATACAGCACAAGCATATTTTCTTTGATATTCTATCATATTGATTCAAGACCATGTCCATTATCCACCTGTAACTGACTGCTATCTAATAATACTTTGGGATCTTTTCAAATGATATTTGCTAAAAGGTGCTTAATAAAAATATCTTGTACCATCATTGAGTACATTCAATGAAGACCAGTTCATGAACATTTACAAAACCTGTAACACAAAAAACAAAATAAACAAATCTTCAAGAACTGAAAACAGATCCTCTGGCATCTCTTGTTGAAGACTTAAAATGTTCAGAACAGGCAACCAACACATTGAATTGTTGAAAAGATACTGGCTAAACTTCACTGATCAAAATCCAAGATGTTCATCACATGATGGCTACCTCTATGTAAGAAAAATGTTTGATCATGATTTAACTTCAGATGTGCTAGGCTTGGTGAACAATTGAGAGGAATCGGCAAAGGAAATTTGAAAATGATAATCCTCTTATAATCAGGTCATTTTGTTCAGTAAGTTGGTCTGAAACCGATAGTTAACTATCAATGGAAACGGCACTGAATATGAGAAAAAGTTATTAAATATTAAACAAGAGGCCCATGGGCCTTAACGGTCATCTGACAAAAAGCAAGCCAAACCTAGAAAGTGGGTTGAGGTCATTCATTTGAACAAACTTGGTAGCCTCTCCTCCAAGCATCTTAACAGGCCCAATATCAGCACTCATGGACTTTTGCTTGTTGAGAAGAAGTCGTTTGTATATTTTAACGTGACCTTGAAAGTGGGTTGAGGTCATTCATTTGAATAAACTTGGTAGCCTTTCCTCCCAGCACACTACAGACCCAATAGTGGGCCAAGGTCATTCATTTGAACAAACTTTGTAGGGCTCCATGCCAGCATGCTATGGGCCAAGTATTAGCCCCCTAGGCCTTCTAGTATTTGAGAAGAAGTTATTTAAAGATTTTGACATATTTGACCCCTGCGACCTTGAAAGTTGTTCAAGGTCATTCATTTAAATAAACTTGGTAGCCTTTCCTCCCAGCATGCTACAGACCCAATATCGGCACTCATAGACTTTTGCTTATTGAGATGAAGTCCTTTGTATATTTTAACATATTTGACCCCTGTGACCTTGAAAGTGGGCCAAGGTCATTCATTTGAACAAACTTTGTAGGGCTCCATGCCAGCATGCTATGGGCCAAGTATTAGCCCCTAGGCCTTCTAGTATTTGAGAAGAAGTTATTTAAAGATTTTGACATATTTGACCCCTGTGACCTTGAAAGTTGTTCAAGGTCATTCATTTAAACAAACTTGATAGCCCTTCATCCCAGCATGCCACAGGCACAATATCAGCAATCTGAGCCTTTTGGTTATTGAGAAGAAGTTGTTTAAAGATTTTAACATATTTGACCCCTGTGACCTTTAAAGTGGGTCAAGGTCATTCATTTGAACAAACTTGGTAGTCCTTCATCCCATCATGTCACAGGCCCAATATCTACACTCTGAGCCTTTTGGTTAATGAGAAGAAGTTGTTTAAAGATTTTAACATATTTGACCCCTGTGACCTTTAAAGTGGGTCAAGGTCATTCATTTGAACAAACTTGGTAGAGCTCCATGCCAGTATCCTCTGTGCCAAGTATTAGCCCCCTAGACCTTCTAGTATTTGAGAAGAAGTCGTTTGAATGAAAAGTTTACGGACGGCGCACGGCGGACGACGGCGGACGAAGCATGATGACTATAGGTCATCGGACCCTTCGGGTCAGATGACCTAAAAAGGCAATAACTTAGAATGTTCAAAACCAAAGAAGGTTGCCTGTTAGATGATCAATGTATCGAATACTTCTACAATAACATCAGTCTTAACATCTCACAATTTATATGTATCTCCACACATTCTTTGAATTCATTCCCCTCCCAATGCCTTTAAATCAAAGTACTGAAATTACGGAAAGGCTGAACATGTTGATAACATTTATATATACAATATCTTGGTTGCTCTTGTTACCGTAAAAATCTGCAATTTTTTCGTGAAAGTTAAGGTCCACAGTGGGTAGCACACACATTACACAGCAAAAGAATTAAAATTTCTCATTTTTCTTTTGTTGAAAGATCAGATGTTTTGTGACCGAGTAGAGAGAAAATTGTCATCATCATACACAACAAAATATAATGATATATCTCTTAATTGAACATATTCCTTTGTATTTAAAAGCAATTAATTTTCAAAATAATTGATATATGATAAAAAAAGGAAGGGAGATACCTTCACCTTGCATAAGTAAATTTTGACATTGAAGCAAATAGACAACTCTGAATTGTATTTCACGTATGACTAACTTTTTCATAGATAGACTTGATTACAGTATACATTCTGTCAGTTGATTTATAAAATCATCTTATGATTAATACTATCAAAAGCCTTTTCGTCGTCTATGAAACAAGAAAATATCTTTTTTATATTACACTAAATAGCGTCTGTTGTTCCGAAACCAGGATGGAAACCAAACTGGGCATTTGGTATGACATTGTGATAATCTGAACACTATAGTAATCTGTCATTAAAACCAGAAGTGTACAGCTTAGACAGGCAACTTACTGAGGTCATGCCTCTACAGTTATTAACATCATCAATATATTATTAATATTATTATTTATGAAGAGGAATTATAACATCACATAACCAACTTTCTGGAAAAACACCTCCAATGAAAATCAAAACAAAAAGGAACAAAATTATTTTTTCCTTTACGAAAAAATCATTTAACAGGTTGTCTATACCTGGAGACTTAATGACTTTTAACTGTTTAATGACATTCAAGATTTCTTCAGTAGTTATTTCCTTGTCCAGCTCAGAAAAATACATTCATCAGGATTGTGTTCATCTACATCACTATCAATATTTTCAGCTTCAAAAAAACTTTTAAAGTGAGCATAAAAGTCATTTCCTGACAACTTTGAAGCAGCATTTGTCTTCTGTTTTATAAATAACTGATAAGTCAAAAAACATAAAGCACCGAAGGCAAGACATCCTTGTTTACATTTATATGGCTATTCTCTAGAGATCTTGATATGGTATGTTTGTGTAGATCTACATATGTACGCTCTGACTCAACGATTAAATGGGTGCTTCTGCCCAATTGCGACTCTTGGTCAGAATGTCACACCAGCTTATGTTTGGATTTTCTGCCCATAGTTGTGTTCAAATTGCATACTGTTTTTCATTGTGATACTTATGTACACAATATATGGATTTTAGTTGAATGATTCCACCGCAAGCAAAGTGAACCCTGCACAGATTGAGAAACATGTCTGCCACCATGAAACACCGCTCACAATACTTGCATCTTAATTTTCCTTTATTTTTAAAGTTAATGTCACATTTTGTAAAATATGAATATCAAAGAATATATTTTGTTAATATCATGTGATTTCAAGTTTTGATTACCGATAATTCTCTAACGCTAATTTTCATAATAATTAACTTCACATAAGTATCTAGGATATGTCAAAATAAAATCTTTAATCAATGTTATTCTCTTTAGTCACAAAAAATATGGAGAAACCTATTACACAATTTCATGTACCATATCCTAACATATCATATGTTGTTGCATATATCGTTTTATGCTTAATTTCACATCATATCATGGAGGACAAACATTACTGAAAATTACTTTTTATGTATATTGATATAATTATTTCAAGGTTTTAATATCGCTAGAATTCTTAAGATCTTTAAATTTATTAATAATTACATATAGATTGATGTCATGATATTTTGATATCTTTCTTATGTTTGGCTGATGATTGGCACTAACTACAAACTTTCAACTTCATCTGTTTCATTCTCTTTACAGAAATACAATGCATATGGATGCTAAATTTTAACACTTTTTCAAACAGTACTTTATTACTACATTATTCCAACTGCCAGTTTAGTCTATAAATTATAGTTACTTGTTCTAAATACAAACTAAGATTTTTGCGCTGTCATTTAACATATCAAAGAATGGTTTCAAATTACAATCATATTTATCTTGCATTAATGAGCGTGCGTCTTTCATTAGAGTGTAAATAATTTACGAAGCCAGAAAATTTCATTGAACAAGGTTAGAAATACAAAGAATATATAGTAAAATAAATGAAAACATGAATGACTTAAAGCCCGTCACTTTTCTGTTACACATGGCCACATCGTACACCTTGCCGGCTTGCATTCAAACTTATATAGGGTAGGTATTTGTCAATCCCACATTATCGGTATGGTGATGGTTTGAAAACGTCAGTCATTATATCCTTACATTTTCATTATAAGACATAAATGGTTCGAGACTTGGTATGATTTGGGTGTAGATTTTAATATAGAAATTATCTTAAGAGGCAGCAGTGATGTTTACTCATATGAAAAATGCAATATTGTCGGATCTGTTCAGAAGTTTATAAAACAGAGGGCTTTTATAGTACCTAATTCTGAACGGTTTGTAGTTGACTCTGAATCAATAAAACCTATATAATCTCCATTTCTCTTCTTTTCTATCTTCTACTCCTTTTAACAAAATGATTTAAACATACAATTGTATGACTACAAATTATATATCTCCATGTTCATAGTGTAAATATATGTAACATGCAGTATATTAATTATTTTTTTATCATTTATTGAGAAGATTTCATAAGTTGTTAGAACTTGTCTCTGATCCGTTTATCTGTTTCTGATAATTAAATATGTTTAAATCACTTGTTGCCGACTTCAGATCGACCATTAAAAAATACATATCAAAGATCTCACATTCTACAGAGAATACTCTCTTACATCCGGGCCAACAAGAGAGATTAGTATAAGTTGAAAAACTTGTTTCGAAATTGTTGTAAAATTAATAAAGTTTATATTTATATCGAGAATCCTCTACAAACCAGAGCAATGCTAGTTCGTGATTGATGTAAATTTCAATCTTAATATTTTCATGAACACCTAGTCGGTCAATTTTGGTAAGTTTTTAGTTGAATACCTGATTGTTGCATAGCATTGTTTATAGCATACAACTGCTGCTCGAGGTCACTGGAAAATCGTCGGAATACTTTCGTTAATCACAAGGCTAGGATTTGTAGTAACTGGCTGAAACTGCAACTGCTTGCAGCAATGACAATTGTTACCGTTGAAAAAAGAATACATCATATCTGTTAAATTCAAAATAGTTTGTTTTATTAACTAAAGTATCTCCTATTCATTGACAGATAAAATGAATATCGGTGATCGAAAACAAATAGACACTTTCTGTGAAACGTTCACTTTTGACCTTGCAATGCCAACTACACTTTTAAAGCATTACTATTCAGTTAACTATTACTTTGTAATAAAAAAATGTATTTCTGTTATTACATATCAGTTTCCTTTTTGTCTTCAAATGTCTGCAATATATAGAGAAACAATATTGAAAGTACAGAGAGAAAAGATGTATTTAAACAAAGTAGCTGATTGTTTTAAGAGCCAACTGTTTGTGATCATGTATCGAGTCACGTAAGGACATCAGACGGCATCCATTACATTCTGTGTATAAGCGTGAGGTTATTTCTTCTCTTATTTCAATCAAGACTTTCTATTGAACACTTATTGATGTAGTCTTGTTTAAGTTGTAAAACAAAATTTCTTCTCAGTTTGTTCTCAGTTGTTTGTAACTGATTGGAAACTCTAAGACAAAAAGGATGAAATTGTTTTAATATCATCATGGAGAGTATCATGTCCAATATAAAGCAGGTTTTTGTTTTGAAGAACAACATTTTTGAGATAAAGCATAGCAGACTTTTTAATGTGACTGATAAGTGCTGCAAGTTTTTAAAGTCTTTGCCAAGGCTCATAAGAACTAAAGATCACACAACTAGGTCCCTCAATCTTTAATTTTTGAAAGCCACATTAAATGTATATTCAACATAGCACTTTATTCCACATCATGTAGACACTGAGACTCACACTATTCTGAAATCAGCTTTCCATGAGTTTACTGTTGGAAATGAATTTCTTTGTAAGTGGTAATACAAATTAAGTTTACTATTCCAGAGACAAACATATGATCACATGTTTTTTACCATCACATTTGCCACATCGACAAAAGTTCCTGGGTACTTAGGCCTCATTCCCATATACTGTTGATGGTAGGTCTCACAAACGTTTGCTGAAAACAACTTGTAATATTAATGATGATAATTCTTTTTAAATAAATGGAATATAATGGAATAATGAAATACTCTTTTGTGATAGTTACAGCCATCAATATTAAATCAGCAATATAATTTTTAAACTTGACAAAACATTATGTGATTCAAACTGAACAACTTTACCAGTAACTGATGCACACAAACTTACAGATATATATGCAAAGGTTCCATTCAAAACCTTTGAAATAAAAATATAGTGAATCTAACAGATCTTGACACAACAGGATTCAAAAGACAAGTCAACCAAACAACCATATATAAAGATGTAATAGTTTGTGTACATTTCTTATCAACACTGTTCATACTTTATATCTGAATACAGTATAAACCTTTGCCAGATGTATTCTCAAAGGACAATACAGAAAATAATGTTTACAATAACAAATACAATTACGAACAGACATAAATTTCAGTTGTAATTATTCAATTGAAAGTCCATAAATAAGAACCATTATCTTAGAAATGTGTCCATGATTCACAATGAAGGATCCTTGAATTTCAATGCCTGATCCCGGATGCGTTTGTCATATTCTACTCTGTTTTGGCTACAAAAATAAGAAAGAAAATATTGACATCAAGTAAATAATTCAAATTAATTTTAATGATGGCTTTAATCAATAAAAAAAAGTTCACTGATCCGGAGAAAACAATATCCATCATCATATTTACCAAAATCTTGTATAAAAAATATATACATTTGTGCTTATTTCTACTTGACAGTGCAAGTTAGGCTGTTGAAGGTTGTTTGACTTTTACACTTAGGGATATCCAAACTCATTTCTAAAAGCAAAGCTGAAGTATAACGTATGTTCTTCCCTAGATACAATGACCAGAACTGTGATGTTTTAGAGGTACATCTCAGTTATTTTCCAGATCATTTTCTTCAGGTTGGTAAAGTCAACAGAATAGAAGTTCTTATAACACAACCAAAAGAAGATTTGAATGTCATGTTTCAATGATAATAAATGAAGGTGATTGTGAAGTCATTGAAACATCACTCAAATCTTCTACTGGCTGTGTTATAAAAATTTCTATTCAAAACTGCAAATTTGATTAATATTTTCAAAATCTCAATTGACAAATATTTTTTTACTTGAACTGTTAGCTTTAAGTGTATCATTTGCTAACATGTGGTAAGATTAACTACTTCTATAATGAAATTCATTTTTGTTTTCATTCAAAAGTTATTACCTTGTGGGAATAACTGACACAGCCTGTCCTTAGGTAATCAATATCACTATGCTGTAAGTGTACTGACAAAGTCTGTCCTTAGGTAATCAATATCACTATGCTGTAAGTGTACTGACAAAGCCTGTCCTTAGGTAATCAATATCACTATGCTGTAAGTGTACTGACACAGCCTGTCCTTAGGTAATCAATATCACTATGCTGTAAGTGTACTGACACAGCCTGTCCTTAGGTAATCAATATCACTATGCTGTAAGTGTACTGACACAGCCTGTCCTTAGGTAATCAATATCACTATGCTGTAAGTGTACTGACACAGCCTGTCCTTAGGTAATCAATATCACTATGCTGTAAGTGTACTGACACAGCCTGTCCTTAGGTAAATCACTATGCTGTAAGTGTACTGACACAGCCTGTCCTTAGGTAATCAATATCACTATGCTGTAAGTGTACTGACACAGCCTGTCCTTAGATGATCAATATCACTATGCTGTAAGTGTACTGACAAAGTCTGTCCTTAGATGATCAATATCACTATGCTGTAAGTGTTCTGACAAAGCCTGTCCTTAGGTAATCAATATCACTATGCTGTAAGTGTACTGACAAAGCCTGTCCTTAGGTAATCAATATCACTATGCTGTAAGTGTTCTGACAAAGCCTGTCCTTAGGTAATCAATATCACTATGCTGTAAGTGTTCTGACAAAGTCTGTCCTTAGGTAATCAATATCACTATGCTGTAAGTGTACTGACAAAGTCTGTCCTTAGGTAATCAATATCACTATGCTGTAAGTGTACTGACAAAGTCTGTCCTTAGGTAATCAATATCACTATGCTGTAAGTATTCTGACAAAGCCTGTCCTTAGATGATCAATATCACTATGCTGTAAGTGTTCTGACAAAGTCTGTCCTTAGGTAATCAATATCACTATGCTGTAAGTGTACTGACAAAGTCTGTCCTTAGGTAATCAATATCACTATGCTGTAAGTGTTCTGACAAAGTCTGTCCTTAGGTAATCAATATCACTATGCTGTAAGTGTACTGACATAGTCTGTCCTTAGGTAATCAATATCACTATGCTGTAAGTGTTCTGACAAAGCCTGTCCTTAGGTAATCAATATCACTATGCTGTAAGTGTTCTGACAAAGTCTGTCCTTAGGTAATCAATATCACTATGCTGTAAGTGTACTGACAAAGGTAATCAATATCACTATGCTGTAAGTATTCTGACAAAGCCTGTCCTTAGGTAATCAATATCACTATGCTGTAAGTGTTCTGACAAAGCCTGTCCTTAGGTAATCAATATCACTATGCTGTAAGTGTTCTGACAAAGCCTGTCCTTTAATGATCAATATCACTATGCTGTAAGTGTTCTGACAAAGCCTGTCCTTATCATAAACTTACCAGTAAACTGTGTATGCTTCAGCTTGAGCTGGGTCTTTGATATTAGGTTCATTTAAAAGTTCTTGAATTCCAAGTAGAATCTGTGAATTCAAACAAAAGAAAAAAATATATCTGTTATTTTTCTAAAACTATACATCAATTCCAAAAGCATTATAATCTGGAAAGAAAAAGAAAATTCTTCAAATACTTTAGTTATAAATTCTGTATATTTTCTAATATGACAGTGTGTAGAATTCAAATGAAGAACTAATGTGGATATTTGGGAAAAAGTCTGAAAGTCAGACTTCCCTAATTATAACATAGCATTGCAAACCTTTGGTGTTAAAGAAGCTACATTGATTGAAATTTTCAGTTACTCCCTGATTGTAATTTGAAACCAATATAGATATGTCCGAGACTGTAGGAAAGATAATAACAAGCATCTATCATTACTATTGACCTTTCACCTTTGTTGGGTCACCTTTTTCTCTTAAAAATATCAAATTCTACAAAACAACTCTTCAGTGTTAATTTCTGTTGGAAAATGGAAATCAATAGTGCAGCATTATAATGTCAATGTGAAAATGTAATATTTCTGAGATAAATTAAACATCCAAAAAGATAAATGAGTAACAGTTGTCACTCTGCTGTTTGGTGATTAGTTGATAAATAACTAAGAGGTGTATGCTTTATCACAAGTCTGCTTATCAATTTTCATTACAGAAAATTAGCAGCACTACACAGAAATTGAATTGTGGTAAATCACCTGCACCTGAGGGCCTATTAAATGAATGTTTCAAAACTAAATTTGCTTCTTCCAACCCTTTCCACATTATTTAGTAACATACTTGAATCTCGTTACTTTCCTTCTAAATGGTCTTCAGCCATAATCATTCCTGTGCATAAGAAAGGCGATTGTAATGATTTTAAAGGTATTAGCTGAATTAGCTGTTTTTGTAAACTTTTCACGTCTGTATTAAATAAAGGCATTTTAGATGTATGCAAGAAGTATAACATTCTAACTGATGCTCAATTTGGGTTTTGCCCTGAAGTTAGAATGATTGATGCTATTTTTGCATTACACTCTATAATAACTAAAACCTTGTCTTGAAAGAAGTAGTTATACTGTTGTTTCATAGACTTTCGTAAAGCGTTTGATATTGTCAATAGAATAAGCTTATGGTGCAAGCTGACAAAGCGTGGTATTCAAGGGAAAATGATATCTGTCATTAAATCACTATATAAACCAGTTCAATCTTGTGTCTCAATTAAAGGTAAAAGTTATAATTATTTTGAGAACAGTATAGGATTAATGCAAGGGGAAATATTATCACCTATATTGTTTTCACTTTTTCTTAAATTTTTTTTTCAAAATTTCATTTATGGAAAATGGAGCAACTGATTACGATTCTGGTGAATTCATTTTATTTCTGTTAATGTATGCTGATGATTTAGTAATGTTTTCCAAAACCATTGTAGGTTTGCAGAGTCTTCTAGATAATCTTCATAATTATTTCACAGCATGGAAACTGACAGTTAATACAGAGAAAACAAAAATTGTTGTATTTAGATATGGAGGTCATATACATGATATAGAATCATGGACTTATAATGGTAAAAAAATGAAAGTTGTTGACATTTTTTCCTACCTGGGAGTGAAATTTAAATACAATAATAAATTCCATCAGATACAACAACAGTTATCTGACTAGGGACATTAAGCTATGTTTGCACTTTAATCAAACTGTTCTTAGGTCTAAACTGCAAAACCTTATTACATTTATTTGAAACATATGTTTTCCGTGTATTGCATTAAGCATGTGAAATTTGGGGTTCTTTAAAGGGTACTGAAATAGAAAAGATTCATCTATTGTTTTGTAAGAAGATTTTAAAAGTTAGAAGTAATGCACGTAATGCGATGATTTATTTTGAATTAGGTAAATATCCATAAGAATGCATAAGTATAGAATAAACAAACACTGGTTTAAACTAATGTAATCAAAAATTGTATTTTGAACACTGTGAGTTAATTTTTATGTAGTAGTAATATAGGTTATTGTTTTAACTGGGTAAATCTTGTTACACATTGTCTTTTTGCTTTCAGCTTCGGAGATGTGTTGACAAATCACTATGCTTATGAGTAAAAAAGTATGTTATACTTGATAAAGCAAAGAGTTTTTGACCAAAGTCAGCAACATCTTATAGGATTACTGGAGTCCTCACCTTAATGTACTTTATGTAAGCACATTGCAAATAATTTTACTCTACAATAATATTTCATAAAATTTATTCCTATATAATATCCAGTTTGTTTATCTAAACTTTGCCTTTCTGCACATAATTTTGCCACTGAAACTGGAAGATATAATAATATACCAAGAGAGCCAAAGACTTTGTCTGAGTTGTAATTTAGACACTGAAGATTAACATCATTATATTCTGATATGTAGGTTTAATCGATATTTAAGAATGAAATATATAAAACAATTTTATTAGCGAATTCCTTCCTTGTATAAACTTATACAATTGCTTAGTGTCGATAATGTAAACAATCTTTGATGAATATATATTGTAGTCACTTCTTGTTATTTCAATAACACTGTATTTGTTGTTGTCAGTGTATACATTAGTTGACTATGATGATGTATGCACAACTATTCTTAAATACATATTATGTTACATTATTTGTAAAATTGTATGTTTTCAACTAGTTGAAAAAGATGAAATAATCACGATGATTGCTATGTTATATGCCATTTGTAAATAATCTTATGTATCCAATAAGTTGTAAAAATTTGCAGAATGAAATTGAATTGAAAATTGCTTATGCAACTGAAATTTTATGTATAATGTGATCTGACTTTACCTGTCTTATTGTAACAGCTGGTCTCCAGTCTTTCTCCTCATCTAGTAATGATAAACACACTGTGCCTGATGGGTAAACATTGGGATGGAATAATGGTGGTTCAAATTTACCTGCAGTCAAACCAAACAAGACTTGATCATTGGAGTAAAGTACAATGTTGCAGTATGCTGAGAAAAAAACATTTATGGAATGAAAGGATATCAATCACAGCAAATTATTTACCTCCATTTGTCCTCTAAAGGGATATTCTGCATCAATTGTAAAATTTCTATCTGTTTTGTTCCGTTTTCAAACTTTCTAATGTCTTTTATAACTAATGTGAGCATCAAAATATATAAAATTAAGATGTCTAAATAAAGCATAATGGAGAATATAGAACTCAGTTAATGATTGGATCCTATATTTTATGGGAAGTATATATAATGGGTAAATACATAGGGTTATACACTGTTCATTTATATTTTTCGGAATCGATATTCTATGGCTTTCTTTGACTTATTTCTAGATGATTTTAAAGTGTTGAAATACTCAACTATTTAACACTTTAACAGGCAATCATGGTCAAGCTATTTTATGTAAATCAATCAAGCTAGATCTTAACAGAATTTCTGCAAAATTAATTATCGTTTGTTTATATGGTGAATTGAGGTGCACAATGTCTGTAGGAACCTAAGTAAATCCTTTTGTGATTTTTTTAAAAAATAAAAAACATGATATGAAATCCTGATTTGTGCTGAATATTCCTTTCAAAGTTAAATCTTTTTCATTCTTTCCTCTTACTCAAGCTTAATAAAAAAAAATTCAGAGTTCCACTAAAGAAATAGTAATACATGAACACCTTGTAATATATGTTATCCTTATACTGTCAAGAAATAGCAATAACAATCTTTACTTGGCCAAATCGGAGATGGCCTACTGTCAGCCATTTTATCTTTCTGATCATACCCAAAATCTAACGGGGCACAACTAGGGACAGAGGGAACCCTACATAGGAAATTTTAGCAAGATCCCTCCAGCACTTTTCAAGAAAAAGCAATAACAAACTTGCAAAGTCAAAATGCAAGATGGCCACCTGTCGGCCATGTTGTTTTTCTGATCAGTCCCAAAATAGATTGAGCATAACTATGGACAAAGTAAACTTGAAAGAGATCCATCCAGTTCTTCTCAAGAAATAGTGATAATAAAAATTGATTACGGATGGACGAACCATGATTATGGTGGGCTAAAAATGTATGAAATCATGAGGATTGTAAGAAATATCAAAGTGATGTGAAAGGAGGTTTTGTTGTTGTAATAAAAATTACATAAGCATATATAAAGGTTTAAATGCCTCATGAATTTTTTAAGACTTACACTTTGGAGGAGAACTTGGATAATCCTCTTTGAATAACATCCTCAGCTTAAATAGACCAGTTTCCCATGACGTCTAAAATGTAAAAAAAAAAAAAAAAAAATGAAGGCCTATCTAACACATGGTACCGTCCTCTATAGTTAAACATTCATGTACATAAATTGGTTAGTAAAAACAACAGATATGGGGGGAAATAATAGTGATATGAAATATTTGATGTAATGTACACACACATATATTTTTAACTCTTTGAAAGAGACAATTACTGCAAAAGATCAAAACAAAAACAATGCATGCGCCGCCAGGGCCGTCTGAACGGGACAAATTAAAGTTTGAAAAAATAACAAAGGGCAACAAAAGAGTTCTTGTGCACTGCCCATGGCTTTGTTGAGATCTATCTACCTATTAAGTTTAATGTTGACACCTCTTATGGTTTTAGAGTAATGCTCCGGACAAAATTTTCGTATGAAAAATAACAAAGGACAATAACTCCTAAATCCTGCCCAGGAGAGTGATGGTTCTGGTGCACGGAACTTCTCCTCATTGAGATCTATCTACCAATGAAGTTTTATGTTGATATATTGCTTATAAAAGCTAATAACAGATTGACAATGCTGGTTAAGAAGTTAGGGACTTCTTCATGACAAAATTTCAAAAATTTATGTAAATACATTGTCTTGCTTTTCCCCCTAAGAATTTGAATAAGTAGTCTGTGCAAAAATTATGATATTGATTTGTTTTAAGTCATTACTGGTCTGCACCAATGTTAAAGAATGGTGGTAACACCGCAATTTACTTAAAATGGTCATGAAGTAAAAATATGTGAAGACCTAAATCATGGTACAAAAAGACTTGTGTAAACAGACATCAAATGTCTAGCCCTACATTTAATCTCAACATATCCACGTAAGATTCAAATACACCTACTAACAGCTTTCTTTAACATAATTCAGCATGATTTGTTTACAAACAATTTCAATCTATACATACTGATTTATTTAAAGTCAAATTGTGATACAAATTAACCTTAATAGAAGGTTTTGTTTTACTTTTACCAGAAAGAAAAAATGTCTACAAGTACACTTTTTATTATGTTGTGTTTAAACTCATAACAATCTCGCGAAATTATAGCTATCATCTGATGGTAGTGAAATTAGCAATCATTCAGAAAAAGTAACACAGTACAACGATGAATGGACCATTGGTTGGTCATGTCACACCAAAGGAGCTAGAAATAAAGTTAATTTCTGTACAAAACCTAAATTGTAGTCGCTTGAAATAAAAGATTTGTAACTGTAACAGATCCTTTGTCTAAAAGCATCACAAATGCAATAATATAATTGTGTTTAACTGTCCTCCTTAAATGTTAAGAAATTAATAATTCATCCATCACTCCTTATTAACATCAAAGTGATGAATGTAAGCCTTCCACCTGGAGTGAATAAGACAGCTCTGGCATATTTTCAGTCAACAAACTGGCAAATAATTGCTTATTACACTATGTAGGACTGTTTTTGAAAACAATATATTATATATGTAAGAGTCAGGAAATTTGTTCAATATTAAATCATAACAACATTTAATTTCAATGTAAGAAATTTAAAGAATGAACAGAAATTTTCAAATTGCTATTACCGATCTTTTGCCTGGTATTGCACATTCCCAATTCAAGAGATTCAGCGTTCCATCAGGATTTTTGGTTGGTCTGGCCACAAATCCCTGTAAAATGATTATTTTTTTTAAAGAACTCAAAGCAGAATATGCTTTATATAATCAATACATTATTCTTTACAAAAAAAATCCCAATCTGATCAGACATTCAGCTTGGCCAAGAATGAAAATAACCAAAGCCGATGTGATTGATTGAGTGGATCATCATGTCAGGTTATACAATACAAACAAGGGTACATGCATTTCAATACTATTATACACCAATGCAAGTAAAACAATCAGTCAGTATTGTCATCAATTTTTCAATTATGTTAGGAATTATTTTGTCTTTTTTTAAATACAAATTATACATAACTGCACAAGTTAAAATCAAGCAAAAATGAATTTGACTTTTGAGCTGCTACAAAATACAGAAATGAAAAGATGTAACACTAAAGATGCTTTTTCTATAGAGTTACTTCCCATGTTATGACATTTAACACTCTCCAGTTATGTGTCAAGATCTTAAGTTGTAGGACTAGCAGTGGATAAATGACAAGTTTGACTAGTATTGTTACATCCTTTATTTTTCTTTTAAATATTTTAGTTGTCCAACATAATGTCCTAAATTTCTTCTTTTATTTATCTATTTTATTTCATTTTTTATTTTTGTGCAAAATACACTTGCCCATACATATGTTCACATGTTGCACTGTACAAAAAAAAAAGTATAAAATTTGGTTCAAAATGATTCAGTTAGAACTCTTCTTTAAATTGATGGAACCATCAAACAAACTGCTCATTTTTGTAAAATTTGAACTTACAAATGGATGATCTTTTCGCCAAGCTTTCCTTTCTTCAGATAAACGAGCTAAAGCAATTCCTGACATTATGCAGCATCTACAAAAGAAATTTTAATAAGCAATCATAAATATGAGATTATTTAGTAAATATGACAGAAATGATGTGTTGCTGACTCATCTCTGGTTCCTTAAATTACCAAAGATAACACTGATGAATGCTTGAGAAAAGAATAGAAATATTTTTAACTGGTTTTTAAATTTTTTAATTTAGTAATTGTTGCCATGCCTGATAAAATGATCATCTCACATATGAAGCACAAAACTATAATTTATTTTCACCCACATATTTTCAGTAAAAATATAGTAGTGTAAATATGCCTTGCTGACTGGGAGATGTCCCTCATATGGCATCATGTTCAAAAATCACTGTAATTGCTGCTTTTATAACATCATGCATATCACAAGAAAACATGTGACCTGATTTGCATAAAACTTCATTATGCTAGCAAATAATTTAAACGAGATATTTGTAAAGACACACAAACTGTATTAAATTGTCAGGATGTTTGTACTATAATCAATAATGATTGTAGGATTTTTCCGGGGAGTCAAGAGCATCATTTCCAAAATTTTGATGTCAAGTTGAAGTAACAAAGATATATAACAGGTTCTTAAAATTTCAGCGAGTCACACAGGAAAAGCATGAGTCCCAAAAGTAACTGATGATTATTCGTTGTGAAGGATAGTTAGTGAACACTGAACAGCCTTTTCCTTTTTGCTCCAGACCTAAGCATAGAAGATTACATGGAGTCTACCGTTGGTTGCGTATATACGAACATTTTTTTATGCAATGACTGACATCATGACCTCAGACTCCGTTAACAATTAGTAGACCTTGTGAAAAATCTTAAATGGAGGTCATCGTTGGGGAAGTGTAAGTTAAGAAAACTAAATAAAATGAGATTTGGGTGTGGAAAAGAAATTCAAGTGTTTTAAGTTGACTTGCAGAAAAAATACGTAAGCATGCCACTACAGCACGACATTAATCAATAATGATTTACGTTATTGCTTTATTATCATATGTACTTGAGTAAATATATGAAATTATGAGTCGATTGTGTTTATTTTTAGGATTTTAGAAAAATAGATCACAACACTTAGAAATCAGGGACGAACTAAATATGTTTCTAACATACCGTATACGGCAAAACTGTAAATGTTGAGTTATAAATGGTATCCATATATACTGTCACGGTTACTGAGGTAAGTTTGTAAACATATATAAGATGATAAATACCTGATTACCTACATAAGTATCTTTCACGATCGTTTCCCTCCACTCCTCGTTGTACTTTTTCTGTGTGGTCACGTGACTACTTGGGTTGGTTTTAATGTTTATCAGAGAAGGGTCATCTCAAGCATCGAAGGAACGATGATCTTCTCGGACGTGACGTGGTCTAGATGAGATTTGACAGTAAGATGGCGGCCTCCAGTAAGAAAACGAAACGTCTGTCAAAATTTACTGTTGACTTCTTAAATGAACACTTTTCTGAAGATGTCAAGTCACTTTCTAGCGTCAAAGACATATTTAACAAAATGAAAGAATCGAAAGAGAGTTTGGAAAGCCAGGTTTGTATTAAGTTGGGATAAATACGGTATTTGGTTTGAAACAGTCTAGTAAAAGCTGTTACACGAGTGAAAGTAATGGGATTTTAATACATCATCTCTCCCAACATACATTAATCCTTTTACGTGATACAACAATACAGAGGCAACCTCGCATATGGCGATGCATAAACTGTAACTACGGGCTTGAATCTCTGTTGTAACTGCTTTGAGAAATAAATCTGCCCACCAACAGGGCTACATCTGGGCACATTGTCACCATGACTACTCTTATTTCTCAAGCACTTGGAGGAATAAAGAAAAGTTAATTAATACCAATTTCATGTGTGTAAAATCATCTTTATGTTTAGTAGTGATTGAAAGTAAGCCAAACAAATTCAAGAAAGCAAAAATGCTGTCATAGTATAGGATTAACACCGAAGTTAGGTAAAGAGCAGAACACCCATGTCCAATCAATTACTGGGACCTCTCACCCTTGACACAAATAAAATGTGGTTTTACACATGTTACTGGTATCAAGCTTCACTCCTACAAATGCCTTACACCATTCTTATGAATGTATTTTCAGTTGTCTTTAGCCAGTAGTGAAATTCCAAGTGAAGTCGATTTAGCAGTTAGCAATGTAGAGACTGCCCAGATAGCTATACGCCGACTTCAAGATGAGAAAGAAAGCCTGCACCATAAAGTCAAGGACCAAAGCCACAACCTCCAGCCAATTGTCAGCGATGTCACTTCACTAATAGAACAGGTCCAGCACCTCCAGAAATACATTAAATACCTCTCCTTCATTACCAAAGTAGAGCACCTAAGGTTGGTTGCAACATTTTTGTTTGTACAGTAATTTTGATGTATATTTTAAGCAATTCTTAAAGGTGAACTGAAGTTTTGATAAGTTCTGGAAATTGGCATATTTCAATACTAGATTCTGTAACCTGTGATTTTTAGTCACCTGAGGCAAAGTCTCATTGTGACCTATTCTAATAATCTTCATCTGGCGTCATGAGTCATGTGTTCCTGAAAAATATAACATTTTCGACTTCTCAAAAAACCCTGGTTGACCCCCAGGGGCTGTTGGGAGGGGCCAAAAGGGGTCAAATTGACTTAAATTTCAAAAATTTTCTTCTCAGCACCTAGATAAGGTAGAATCAAATACTCTTCATGAATTGAAGCATCTTAAGGTGCTTTAATTACCAGATTGAGTCTCTAATTTCTTCCTTGGGAGGAATATCTTTTTAGACTTTACTGTATTTTTCATAGAAAAATGGCATTTTTTGGCATAGCGTTGGTTATTTCCCATAGGAAATAACTTTTTAAGAATTATCAGTATAGGATGACAGTTTTGATGGTAGCATGTGCTGACACTGGCTTACTATATTTAGTGTCACAATTTATGTTTCATGATACTTGATAACTATCCTTTAATCTTTATATTCAATATTGCTTATCTCAAGTGACCGTTAAGGCCACTAGGCCTCTTGTTAGTTTTATGCTCCTCGAAAAAATCTTTAAGGGAGCATTTCCATTGGTCCTTGCCAACATTTAGGCAATGATCATGAAACTTAGTGTCATATTATAGATTGATTATACTAAATCGATGTGCAATGTACCAGATTTAGGGCATGCAACTCTTCAACTACAGAGTTATTACCCTTTTTTAAATTTTCATGTCTGGAGCATAATTTGCTTTCATTTAAATTGAAATAATGAAACTTGGTGTATGAATTAGTCATTAAATGCAGAGCTATTGCCCTTTGTTTAAATTTTTTGTCTGGAACATAACTATACATTGCATTTAAACTAGGAAAACGAAACTTGGTGTATTTATTGGCTGTACTAAGATGATGTGCAATGTACCATTGTCAGGGCCTGCAACCCCTTAATCACATATTTACAGCCCTTCGTTAATATATTTTTTTTCAAGGACATAACTTCGCTTCTTATTTAAACTATTATAATTAAACTTGGTGTATGCATTCGCCATACTGAGAGGATGTGCAGTTAACTAAATTCAGGGCCAGAAACCCCCTAATTGCATAACTATTGCTGTTTGTTGAAATTTTTTGTCTCGTAAAAATTTTCGGGAACATTATCAGTTTCACTGATGTCTTTTGTTCTAAAACAATATGTCAATAGAGACCTGACAGGAGCTTATTTACAAATACAAATATATAAATATATATTCACTTATAATAAAAGTTTGATAAATTGTTTGTGAAAGTTAGTTATTGAATCAGATATAGATATTTTATCATCAGTATTCAGTGAGTTTGACGAGAAATTTGTTCCGTAAAACTGTATCATGGTAAGGTAGTTCATTTTGTTACTCCTTATACTTTACAAAATGAAATTTATATTCATGTTGTCAATACTGATAAATTTGACTGATTCTTTACATCTTTTTTCCAGCTCAGATATACAAACCAGTCTTCTTACAGATGGCTTCGAGACATCTGTAGAAAGTTTTCATGATCTGAAGAGAGTTTATACAGATCTTCAGGAAACAGAGTGTAAACATCTACTCAAGTTTACTAGTGATACCATTAATTTCTGGCACAAGATTCTGAAGAACAATTTAGCAAGGTATGAATTTCTCATATTTTACAGTAAGAAACAGAATTATATATAAAAATTTGGTTGTGTTGCACTGCCTGTGCAGTATTCCACTCTAAGGGAAACGACAAAAATGTATTTGTTACCTTTGGAAATGTGATCATGATTAATGTAAGTACCAAAGTCAAAGTGGCCAACCCGATCCATATATTGAAATGTATAAGATTATAAACCAAGGAAAACTTTCAGATAAAAATGCCATGAAAAAAATTGAAAACTACATATAAGGGTTCTCAGTATTTATGCCTGCCCAGTACATGAACAAAAGAAAAAAAGACTGAGTGAGGAGATCTTTAAGAAGGATGAAAATTTCTGCAACATAATAAGTCTTTAATATTTTGTTAAATCAGATGTTTTAGTATTGACAGATGTTTATTGCCTTGAATACAGCTTCACAATACCATAATGCCTGATACATATCCAGTGTGATATGTGATGTAATAAGCAAAATGTAAGATATGGTGATGCTGTTTTTCTTGACAGTCAGTTTGAGGATGTGTTGAAGAGTCTTGGTTGGCCATTTGTGGGAACGTCCCTAAAGACACCTCCCTCACAGAGTCCTGAGTTGCGTACCCACATGGAGACATTGTTTTCACAACTTCTCTTCATACAGTTGCCGTATCCTTTTACATGGAACTGATTCCTATGAAAAGAAAATAGGCCAATTATGGGTACTGTTCACACTAACAGATTTGATGGTGCAGACTTTTCAAGTGGAGGTCATTTTGGAACAGAAAATTAACAGTTTGAGGGTAATAATGCTTCAAAATTGTTATTAGTTAAAGGTTATTGTCAATTAATAGTAAAGGAATAGTGCTATTTGGAATATTTCTGTTGCTGACTGTTACTAAGTCCATGTCATTAAACAGATAAATTTCACCATTTGATGTCAAATTTTAATATCTAAAATACTAACTACAGAACTAAAATTACAACATGTAATTCTATTAAATGCTATTAAGTACTCATTCAATTCAGAATGAGTCTGATATAAAATGTTAAAGCAACACATATGGCATTTGCTATACATACTCCTTGACTCTGCTGAGAGATGGGTTGAGAGTTCCTGCCCAACAGTCAGAGGAAAGGATAGACACAAAGCCCCTCCTGCTGCCTCTACAAATCATGGTCAAATCTTTCCGTAAGCGATTTAGATTCCATTTCTATGGAAACCGACAGACAAACAACATTGATAAGGTAGGATGTGTAACCATTTAAAAGAAACTTGAAGGAATCATAATTAAAAGTCTTGTTCTTTGAAGGAAGATATGATTGAACCAACACTGACTAACTTCAAAGAAATCTGATTGAATGTCATATTTTAGCATTATCAGGCTACAGTTCCTCTTGACAGATAATTGAAATATCGATGATAAGAAAAATGTTCTGTGTATCACAAAACTTTCTAACTAAATGTAATACAATATCATTTCAATAATGCATAAATCATTTTGTTATTTTTATAACTGAAGTAACTGTAAATGAAAAAAATGAGTCTTTTTGATTTGATTTTATGGATCAATTCAAATGAGAAAAGAAAGGAAAATATCCAACTGAAAAAGAACTAATAATGGTCATAGGATTGGGGGAGGGGCAAAATTCTTGTGGGATTTCAATATATATCAACTTTATATATTGCATATATAAATATCATATTTACAGCCTGAATGGTATTTTGCACAAGTGTTGGGTTGGATCCGTGACCACACACATTTCCTTGACCAGAGGGTGCAGCCAATTCTGTCCAAGACAGGCCACGAGACCGTCATTGCAAAGGTATTAAATCCTGCGAGATACCAGGTTAAATGGAGTTATATTCTGTTCTTCTATAAATCAGAAGACAGTTAAATGTATTTTCAACTTCATCAATACAACTCTTTAAGAGCAAGACATCAACCAATTTATGATGGTAATCTTTTTTTGGGGGATACTGGGGTTTAGTGCGGAGATTTACATTAACTTTACAGTAACATAAACCATAATCTATTTCTAAAAGGTGGAATTCATGAGAGGGATGGTTTCAATGGTTACGGAGAAGATGACTAACGACTTACCTGAGACCATGTATGATGAACACATTTTCTCACATCTGGTGGATGAGGCAATTTTATTTGACAGAGAACTAAAAGATGGTTACAGCTATCCCCCTGGACTTCCTTGCTGCCTTAGTGTTCTTACCCTCCCCCGTGCCTTCCACAAGTGGATGATGGTAGAAAAACAGTGTATGTGATATACTTATATAGCCTTGTCACCATAGACTGTAATTTGTTTCAATTTCTTTGGGTTTTTTATGCCCAGCCATTGTTCCGTCCGTCCATCCATTCATCCAGTTTTGGTTGCTGCACCATAACTTTGGAATGCCTCAATAGAACTAAATGATATTTATCATTTTAGTTGAAATATTAAAAACTAATGCCAAGTGTGATTATTGTTAATTTACAGCTGTATCTACCAGAGTTATGACCCTTTCTTGACTTAGAAACTGTGAAAAATTTGGCTTTCGCACCATAACTTTAGAATACCTCAATAGAATTAGATAATATATTTCATATTTGTTGAACTATTAAAAATCTAGGTCAAGTTAACGACAGTTATGGCCCTTCCATGACTTAGAAACCTTGAAAAATTTAGTTTCTGCACAATAATTTAGAATGACTCAATAGAATTAGATAATAGTTTGCTTATACATGTATGTTGAAAGGACATGTCAACTTTGTATCTATCTACTCACAGACCAGACCATGAATTATTTAGAGAAAGTTAACCAGTTTATGCACAACAAGTAAAATCACCAACTCCCATCAGTGGATCAATATTAGACAAAGTCTTCTTTAAAATAGACTATCCAATACCTATAGTCTTCCCTACATACTTTACAGACCATTCCATAGTACATCTTGCATACCAGCAATGACCATTGCCAGTCAGTTTAAAGTATATATACATTTTGTAGTCTCCACATTACAGTGGACTTGTGTTTTAAAGTGCTTAAACTCCTTGATTTTAAAAGACTGAAATATCACTTGTATTAGTTTTTTCTGATACTGTCTGTAGTGATTCCCTATGCTTTTTTGTTATAAAAATGACAAAAAATATTCTATTTGGTGGGACAACCATTTCCAATGGACATGAAAAAATATGAGATAAAAATTTTTGTGGAGCAATATCATAATGTGAAAATTTGTATATCATTTCTTGCAGAGCAGCAGATTTCATCATAATTAAACACTTCACACATTTGTTCTTCATATATAAGTCTACTCCAATAAAATTTGATATAATTATGTTCCTCATTGCAATTCCTTGAAAATCAGGTTTCAGTGCATTCACTTCTAAATGGTTTTCTATGATAAAACATATTTTGTTAATGTCACTAATAAAAATCTAAGTAAATTTTTCATTTGCACTGATTTTATTATTATTAACCACAGGTTGAATTTATTTTGACAGAGTTATGCCCCTTGCACTAATAATATTTTTTTTTTACCTCAGACATCTTTAATTGAAATTTGCTATATCCATGTACATATTTTATGGGAAAACCCTTAGTTGGGTTGGGTTAAATTATCTAATTGAGTTCCCCTTTTCAATTTTCAATTTTGTCCATACCGTGACATTCATGTTGCACTAACACATCTAATATTTCTCTTGTTTGAGTGTCATAATTTACCCTATATTTATTATATTTCTTCCAATAGGAAGTTAGAGGTATAAGCTAGCTGTGTTTCACTGACAATGTTAAAGAGGTTGCAAGAAATAAGAACCTTAAAAAATAGTTTTGAGAACAAAGTTGCAGTATTTATACCCACTAAATTCAGATGCACTCTTTCTTATTTACCAATTCATCTCTTCTGGATACTACTACATGTATTGAAATGTACTTTCTTTAACACTAAGCTGATGCTTAAAATATGTGTCCATTTAGTTTGTAAATTTTTATTTTAGTTGCTGGAGCTAAGATGGACATAATGCTTTCTTCACCGTCGGCTTGGCAATCCCAGTACAAAGACATAGCAGATGTTGATGAACTGAAAGTGCCAGAATGCGGAGAAAGCTTCATTACACTCATGTTGACAATTACAGGTTTGTTTGTCAAGGTTTTTAATCTTTAGATAAAACATGTTTTATGTTCTGTTAATTCAGAGTTATGTTCCAGTAGTGCAGTAATCTGCTAGTAGATTTTGATGAACAAAACAATCCTTAAACATCCTTGCGCCATTATTGAGAGCTTACCTCTGTGGAAATGGAAAGCTTTATCAAGTAAAATTTGTAGTTCAGTATGTCAAAGATGGGCATTTTGATGATGATGGACATTACAGCTTTGTCCACTGCATTTTTACCTACTATAAAAATATTTCATTTGATGCATGTACTTAATTTTACCACACTGTCACTTTTTGGCTTATTAGTGCAAGGATGAATTACAATTATTACTATGTGAACAAAATAAAGAAACTGCAATTAATCACAATTGTTTTTATGTGAAAAGTACTAAAATAATATTACCACCAAAATATGTATGTTTACAGTATGTGTATTTTTTTCTTCATAGATCGTTACAAAGGTTTGCCCTCTGTCATCCACAAAGTGCGTTTCTTGAAGTTACAGCTCCACCTCCTGGAAGATTTCAGAATTCGTCTTGTACAGGTGATGCAAGGTGTCATCCATGATCCACTGTCTGACATTTTCTGTGCCATTATCAATGCTGTCTTCTATGTGATGGAAGTGCTACAGGAGTGGTGTAATCTACCAGTATGTATCACAGTACAAATTTATGAAGGCTTCAGATTGAACAGAGATAAAGATAGAATGGATATATACTGTGTGACTATGTTGTTATAAGTGAGTTTTAAAATCTATCTTCACTACTGAATGACTGTTAGTGTGATTTTATACATATTTGAGAATAAATTATGCTTTTCAAATTACATGATTGTTCTATTCAGTACTTACGTAATGCATGATTATTTTATTACCCATTTTCTGGAATCCAGGTTGATTGTTTTAGGTTCTGTCCTGTATTGTAAATATTGGAATGTATTCTAGGTACTGTTATAAAGACATCTAGTATAGAATACTAGAAAACAATACTGAACTTCTTCACAAAAGACCTTTAATGTTGTCAAGCTTTCAAAACACTGAAACCACTTGGTATCCATGATAATTTGACTGCACTGCTTTCTTTTCTTGTTAGTTTTTCCTACAACTTCAGTACCAACATCTGACAATAGAACCTGAGGACACATCAACACAACCGCCCACCTTGTTGTCAAGTCCTACCACGCTCTCCAGTCCGGTAACCATGTCCAGTCCTACATCAGTATCAAGTCCATCCATAATGACCTCCGCATCCAGTCCTGTGTCTGACCTCACTCTGGTTAGTACATGTACATGTAGTACCTTCAGGACCAAGTATTTGATAGTAATAGATTTACTGGTGCTGTTGATATATCTTAGTTCCATTATTATCAAATTATCAAACATGACAGATTGTATGTAAACCTTATATTATTATATTTCATCTCTGTGTTCATTGGCTTTATTTAATGGTAAATAAAATTATTCACCTAAAATCAAAATTTGTGTGTTCTCATTTGTCTCATAGTAAAAACTATTACATAGCATCAAAATATCAATTATCAAATCTGTTATTTTCAGTATGAAGGTTTGGAGGATGTAGCTGAAGAGTTGGAAACTAGTATGTTTGAGGAGACTATAGACACGTACAACCAACTCAAGACAGAGATGTTAAAGAACATTGTCAAATGTATAGTATTGGATGTACAATCACGAAGTCAGGCATATAGAAAAGACAAGTAAGATTTCTGAAATATATATTTTTAGATTTACTTTTTAGAAGAAAAATGTTTCACAGTCCAACTGTTGAAATCTGAAATGTTTGAAATTCTTTGAATCAGTGAAGTCATAATTATGTTTAAGTTGATGAAATCAGAATTTATTGTAAATACAGTAATAGATATTTATTGCTTCTCGTCCTGTTCCATTCTGTGTCAGTGTGTTGAGAACACAGGCATTTACATCGTCATAGATATTTTCTGGTCACAGATATTTCTTTAAGCAACATTTAGATAAGATATTCAAAACATGTTTATTATATTTTGTGTATATCAAAAAATAATGGTTCAGAAATTGCTTTTAAATTTACTATTTTGTACCTGTGTTGGAGGAGACATGCATTCTGTTAATTACCTTTCTTTTGGCTATGATTGGAAACATGAAAACATCTTGTGTATCATACTCCTGGTCTGTAATACAGATGGCTTTTGCTGCCAAGTTATAAAGAAACAACGAATCTCACGCTGTCGTCCTCAGCCTGCGAGATGTTACTGGTATTGAAGGATCACCTGACACACATACAGACTCAACTCAGTAAACCACTCTTCACGCTGGCATGGCAACGCTTGGCGGAGAAGCTAGACAAGTTTATATTAGAAGAGGTATTACATAGAAACTGTTAACACTGAGGACCTGTCATGTTGTTCATCCCTGTATTTGTGGTCTATTTCAAGTTTAATACTTTCAGGCCTTGTCTCACTATCAAACAAATCTTATACCCTTAATATTACTGAATATGAACTTTACATGATAAGAACTGAAACTTCCTGTTTCAATGAAACTGTTGATGACATTGCTTTTACTCCTAATACCAGATTGCAGTCTCCAGTCAAACTGAACTTTTATCACTGACCTAGCATGTCCAGTTAATATGATCTTTTATCACTGACCTAATATGTCCAGTTAATATGATCTTTTATCACTGACCTAGCATGTCCAGTTAATATGAACTTGTATCACTGACCTAGAATGTCCAGTCAAACTGAACTTTTATCACTGACCTAATATGTCCAGTTAATATGATCTTTTATCACTGACCTAGAATGTCCAGTTAATATGAACTTGTATCACTGACCTAGCATGTCCAGTTAATATGATCTTTTATCACTGACCTAGAATGTCAAGTTAATATGAACTTGTATCACTGACCTAGAATGTCCAGTCAGACTGAACTTTTATCACTGACCTAGCATGGCCAGTTAATATGAACTTGTATCACTGATGTAGAATGTCCAGTCAAACTGAACTTTTATCACTGACCTAGCATGTCCAGTTAATATGATCTTGTATCACTGACCTAGAGGGTCAAGTTAATATGAACTTGTATCACTGACCTAGAATGTCCAGTCAAACTGAACTTTTATCACTGACCTAGTATGGCCAGTTAATATGAACTTGTATCTCTGACCTAGAATGTCCAGTTAATATGATCTTGTATCACTGACCTAGAGGGTCAAGTTAATATGAACTTGTATCTCTGACCTAGAATGTCCAGTTAATATGATCTTGTATCACTGACCTAGAGGGTCAAGTTAATATGAACTTGTATCTCTGACCTAGAATGTCCAGTTAATATGATCTTGTATCACTGACCTAGAGGGTCAAGTTAATATGAACTTGTATCTCTGACCTAGAATGTCCAGTTAATATGATCTTGTATCACTGACCTAGCATCCTTGTTAATGTGATCTCAACTTAGCATCTTACACTTCCTCATCTTTTTAATCAGACCCATTTCTCCCTCTTTTATTTAAAGATATCTCCTTCCAATGAAAATGTTTTTGTTATGGAAAATTTCTTTGTACCATTTTGTAGGTAATACTGCAAAACAGATTTAACGATGGAGGCGCCTCGCAACTGGAGTTTGATATGACCAGAAACTTATTTCCACTGTTTGGAGAATTTACCAACAAACCAGAGAATTACTTCAGACAGTAAGTTTTATTAATATTGAAGTTCTTACAACACAACCAGTGGTAGGTTTGAGTGTAATGTTTTGATGACTACATGGTCACCTTCATCAGATAAGTGACCAGTGTGGAGCAAACTAGCATTGACATACATAGTGTACAAGATGGTGAGGAATCAGCTGATTATATTCTTATGTACACTAAGGTTGAAAATAGTCTGGTGTGATGGTAAACAGATTATAGACCAAAAATACACAACATGGTAACAATATATTGTAGTCAGTTCGTTTATGCTTTCTTGACCCAATTTAGAACAGCATATCCAGATAACTTCCTTAACTAGCCATCTGAAAAAGTTCCCTGTCAACTATTTTGTAATTTTCCCAGTCAATGATGTGATTTTGCTGTGTGGAATGATCTGTGTTGATTTATTGATCTGGGACTGAGAATGTGTTAGACCTACAACAGAATGTGTTTGGTGTCTGTTATTGTAGAAAGTTAATGTGAGGTGTAAGACCTACAACAGAATGTATTTGGTGTTTGTTATTGTAGAAAGTTAATGTGAGGTGTAAGACCTACAACAGAATGTATTAGGTGTCTGTTATTGTAGAAAATTAATGTGATGTGTTAGACCTACAACAGAATGTGTTTGGTGTCTGTTATTGTAGAAAGTTAATGTGAGGTGTAAGACCTACAACAGAATGTGTTTGGTGTCTATTATTGTAGAAAGTTAATGTGAGGTGTAAGACCTACAACAGAGTGTGTTTGGTGTCTGTTATTGTAGAAAGTTAATGTGAGGTGTTAGACCTACAACAGAATGTGTTTGGTGTCTGTTATTGTAGAAAGTTAATGTGAGGTGTTAGACCTACAACAGATTGTGTGTGGTGTCTGTTATTGTAGAAAGTTAATGTGAGGTGTTAGACCTACAACAGAGTGTGTTTGGTGTCTGTTATTGTAGAAAGTTAATGTGAGGTGTTAGACCTACAACAGAATGTGTTTGGTGTCTGTTATTGTAGAAAGTTAATGTGAGGTGTTAGACCTACAACAGAGTGTGTTTGGTGTCTGTTATTGAAGAAAGTTAATGTGAGGTGTAAGACCTACAACAGATTGTGTGTGGTGTCTGTTATTGTAGAAAGTTAATGTGAGGTGTTAGACCTACAAAAGAATGTGTTTGGTGTTCACTATTGTAGAAAGTTAATGTGAGTTGTAAGACCTACAACAGAATGTATTAGGTGTCTGTTATTGCAGAAAATTAATGTGATATGTTAGACCTACAACAGAATGTGTTTGGTGTCTCTTATTGTAGAAAGTTAATGTGAGGTGTAAGACCTACAACAGAGTGTGTTTGGTGTCTGTTATTGTAGAAAGTTAATGTGAGGTGTTAGACCTACAACAGAATGTGTTTGGTGTCTGTTATTGTAGAAAGTTAATGTGAGGTGTAAGACCTACAACAGAATGTGTTTGGTGTCTGTTATTGTAGAAAGTTAATGTGAGGTGTAAGACCTACAACAGAGTGTGTTTGGTGTCTGTTATTGTAGAAAGTTAATGTGAGGTGTAAGACCTACAACAGAATGTGTTTGGTGTCTGTTATTGTAGAAAGTTAATGTGAGGTGTAAGACCTACAACAGATTGTGTGTGGTGTCTGTTATTGTAGAAAGTTAATGTGAGGTGTTAGACCTACAACAGAATGTGTTTGGTGTCTGTTATTGTAGAAAGTTAATGTGAGGTGTAAGACCTACAACAGATTGTGTTTGGTGTCTGTTATTGTAGAAAGTTAATGTGAGGTGTAAGACCTACAACAGAATGTGTTTGGTGTCTGTTATTGTAGAAAGTTAATGCGAGGTGTAAGACCTACAACAGATTGTGTGTGGTGTCTGTTATTGTAGAAAGTTAATGTGAGGTGTAAGACCTACAACAGAGTATGTTTGGTGTCTGTTATTGTAGAAAGTTAATGTGAGGTGTAAGACCTACAACAGAGTATGTTTGGTGTCTGTTATTGTAGAAAGTTAATGTGAGGTGTTAGACCTACAACAGAATGTGTTTGGTGTCTGTTATTGTAGAAAGTTAACGTGAGGTGTAAGACCTACAACAGAGTGTGTTTGGTGTCTGTTATTGTAGAAAGTTAATGCGAGGTGTAAGACCTACAACAGATTGTGTGTGGTGTCTGTTATTGTAGAAAGTTAATGTGAGGTGTAAGACCTACAACAGATTGTGTGTGGTGTCTGTTATTGTAGAAAGTTAATGTGAGGTGTAAGACCTACAACAGATTGTGTTTGGTGTCTGTTCTTGTAGAAAGTTAATGTGAGGTGTAAGACCTACAACAGAATGTGTTTGGTGTCTGTTATTGTAGAAAGTTAATGTGAGGTGTTAGACCTACAACAGAATGTGTTTGGTGTTCACTATTGTAGAAAGTTAATGCGAGTTGTAAGACCTACAACAGAATGTGTTTGGTGTCTGTTATTGTAGAAAATTAATGTGTGGTGTAAGACCTACAACAGAATGTGTTTGGTGTCTGTTATTGTAGAAAGTTAATGTGTGGTGTAAGACCTACAACAGAATGTGTTTGGTGTCTGTTATTGTAGAAAGTTAATGTGAGGTGTAAAACCTACAACAGAATATGTTTGGTGTCTGTTATTGTAGAAAGTTAATGTGTGGTGTAAGACCTACAACAGAATGTATTTGGTGTCTGTTATTGTAGAAAGTTAATGTGAGGTGTAAGACCTACAACAGGTTGTGTTTGGTGTTCACTATTGTAGAAAGTTAATGTGAGTTGTAAGACCTACAACAGAATGTGTTTGGTGTCTGTTATTGTAGAAAGTTAATGTGAGGTGTAAGACCTACAACAGAATGTGTTTGGTGTCTGTTATTGTAGAAAGTTAATGTGAGGTGTGAGACCTACAACAGAATGTATTTGGTGTCTGTTATTGTAGAAAGTTAATGTGAGGTGTAAGACCTACAACAGAATGTATTAGGTGTCTGTTATTGTAGAAAGTTAATGTGAGTTGTGAGATCTGTAACAGAATTCAAACAATATCATTAGGTGAAAATCAGGTTAATTTCTAACAAAAAACACATACTCATGCTTTGGTATTTATTCTTCAGGGTCAATGAAGCTATAAAGCTTCTTACTATGGAGACTGGAACATCTCTACTGATGAAAGAACTGATGACTCATGAGAGCAGTCCCACACCAGGGAAGGACTCCAGTCTATATAACGCATTACATGAAGTCGGAATATTTAAGTTGACATCACAAACATGTAGAGTTTTATTGGACATCAAAGTGAATGCATGATTTGACAAACAAATCTGATGTTGACTGGAGTTGTCTCCTCCATCACTTTAAAGTAGAGAAAGAAAAAGTTTAATATTGGAAAGAGTATTGATCTATTCATCATTTTCTCCTGCGTACTATTCCATGTCCTGGTAATTACCAGTGAGTTGTTATGTTTTGATACTACTGAAGTAGGATGCTGAAGGACATATAGATTGTGGAAGTAATAATCTTAAATGAGTTAAGGAACCATGGTCATTTTCCCTTATCATGGTCAGAATAGACCATTGTGTATTTATTGATGAAATAAGGACTAACTTATTGATATTACTTCACTATTAAAGGGATATTCTGCACAAGTTATGATTTCATAGATGTTTTTGAGGAAAACTGCTCAAAATCATCTACATATCTTCTTATTGAAATGATGTACTTCAGTTTACTATTTAAATAATCATACAGTCAAACCATGTTATCTCAAAGTTTTACCAGGATAATGAGGTTCAACTATACATTTAATTTGCGGAAATGCTTTATAGACTTAACTAAATGGATTTACAAACTTTTTGTGCGGCCCTGTTGGCGTCATAACAAGTTTTCATTATTTGCCAAACAAAATTAAATATATGTGTAAATTATAAGAAAATCAATAGAAAATAAGCCTGATGAAGCTGAAAACCTAGCAGAAGTTTTAGAGAACAGCATCATACTTGTGTATTTATCCAAAATATGTGATCCAGTGATCCTTCAGTTCCTGATTTCTTACATAGAGGGTAAAATTTATATTGGCTAGCACTTTTCCCACCAATTTCGCCTGTCAAAACTGAACACAGGAGACATTTTGATGCTTATAACAGTTTTAAAAGTCATTGGCACGAGTTCTTTAAAGATACAGAACAGCCAAAAATTTAGCAAGTTTGGCAGAATATCCCTTTAAGCCTTCAGAAAGGGTAACCTAGGGACACTATAAGAAGATGTAATTGATTTCTTAATGGCTGTGATTCTAAATAGTGCAATAGTTTTGCGTTTGTTTATAAAGTTTTAGTTTAAAAACATATCTCAATATATAACTGATATACAAAGAGTGAGGACAGGAAACATAGTAGGTAGTACGTTAGTTCTAAACAACATATCTGCTTGATGTACTATAAAATAACAAACCAATCATTAGGAAGTGTTCCATGTTGATTTACACAAAATTGTAACACTTAACTTCTTGCTCTTACCTGGGCTGAAGTGATTCTGTGTACAGTAATTGTAATACCATGTTTGGGAAACAGCATCCTCGATAATCCAGGGGTTACAATCACTTTTGCTTGCTGCAGCCCTAGAACATGTCATGTCAAAATTGAAAGATTCATGTGCGACACCTCGTGGACAAGACAAAAAGATTAGTGTGATCCTTTGATGTCAAACAAATCTTGTGGTTGCATAAATGGTTTATTGTACTGGCTTTGAAGTTGGGTGTCGCTCCTTCATAATCTTCAAAAGGAGCGTATCAGCCTGTGACTGGTAGTTGTTTTTCTCTCTTGAAACCAATCAAGTTACTTCGCTTGTGCCTTTCAATTTTGCTCCGATTCTAATACATCCCTCTGGCTAATTTAGTCTTGCACTCTAGTGATTGAGGTAAAGAGAAGTCCTTTGTAACCAAGCAGTATATTCCTTCTAGTAGTTACTAGAGCTACAGTTGGTATCCTATGGGATCAGTTTCAACTAAATTGTATGTGAACAAATTTGGGGGATAACAAAGCTACATGCATTTTAGGTTTATTTTGCCATGTCAGTCTACGTCAGAATAGGTTTTTTTACATTATGTGTTCAATGTAAATCCAAATAGTGCTATATAAACTTTTTAACAAGATCTTTTTCTGTACCAAAGACTTAGAAGTGCTGCTGATTTTACTTGGATACTGTTATACTGGAAATGAAAAATTAGTTCCTGCAATACAGGTAAAGAATAATTTGTTATACTAGGGGCATTACTGTGCTTGATAATACATTACAGATGTCATTTTAATGGCTCTTCTTTGCATCATAACCATTGTCATATTATTTAGTCTGATCTCTTTCCACCTTTTAATGAGAAACTGTTTTTCCAATCTCCATATTTCAAGATATGCCCCCCCCCCTCCCCAAAAAATAATACAACTGTTCAAAAAATATATCAGTGTTTTTATGTCTTGTTTTCATTACATGTATGTGGTGTAGGGAGTTTAAAAGGTGCTTTATGTGATATTGAAATCAATAAATACCGTTTTTAATTATTCAGTGTCAAATGATCTAAATAAATGAATATATTTTAATTGTCATAACTTTTAACTTTTCTGGTTTCTTTCTTCTCCATTTATTTTGTTATAATACAGCTTCAAACAAGATTTGGGATAACTGCTCCCCCCCCCCCCTCCCTAATCAACAAAAGCTTTGGAGAGGTTGTCCCAAAAAGATTCATTTGGGCACCATGACAATCAGCTGGAAAAAAATCACTGTATTTGTCATCCCTTTAAACACTCTTTATACCAATTTTCAACTTAAAATAAGATGATATCTTAGTTTTGACCAACTAGAAGCGTCCAAAGTGTTTCATTACAAAATGGTTTTGTAACGCCTTATGTGTCAAATTATAGGCTATAATTAGTTGAAGCACTTGCTCAAGTTTAAGTCATATCAATTAAAGGGCTCTATATGAAAACTTGTATACAGTGACCTGTTACCATGGAAACCAAAACTTCTGTAGAATAACAGCATGCATCCCTGTAAAGATTCACTCAAATCAGTTGACAACATTAGGAGCAGTCTGGAAAAGACTGTCTAATAATGGCCATATGTGGATGCCATAGCAACCAGTAAACATATCAATTTTGAAGAGACAAGTGTAATGAAGAATCCACACATCAAAATAACTGCTTTATTACCATATAGAAACTGCAATTAGCATAATCTTATATAGTGGAATATTTTCAGCTGGAAAACCAGTAAAATAAAATTACTGCTTAAATGTGTATGTTAGCAGTATATACAAGGTGTACATAACTGGATTTTAAAATTTGAATACTTTATTTTTTTCAAAATAGACATATTAAGTAAACAATACATCAGATAATTTCTTTGAAGATTTACTGAAATCAATTTATCGAAACTAAAACAATTAAATTTTTAAACCTACCTGTAAAATATAACAATCCAATAAAACCTAGTAAGAAAATATGGTATTTGATGGAATTTCAGTGGAGTCCCTTTTAACAGCAGAACTTGAGTTTAAAAGAAACATTACAAAGTCTAAATGAAATAGGCAACTTGATTATCAAGAAACGTAAAAATGTAATCCAGCCACTGACTCTCATGTAACCTAAAATTACAATCCAGCTGTCGGAAACACTCTTACATATACTAGAAATGTTAAAAAAATGACCAGGTTATTCATAAAATTGTTAACATTTCTTTTCACTCTATCTGGTTGAAAACCTGTCAGTTACTGGATTCGTGCATCACTATTTTGAGTTCATATTCTCAGTTGAACCTTCCTGTGCATATCCTTGTTAACAAAATTACCCAGCTAGTGAACAAAACGTTCATGTTGTTACAGATTTACTCTTCTTGTTCTTCATACTTTTAGTTTTTTTCATCATTAACTTTCCTCCTTCATTTGTTGACAACTTTTTCTTCTTCTCTGGTTTGGTTTTAGGTGATGCATTTTTTCCTTTTCTCAATTTAGTTTTAGTTGATACATTTTTTCTTTTTTCTGGTTTTGATGACACACTTCCCTCTGTTACTGATGTGGCTTCAGTTTCCACATTTTCCCCCACTTCTGGTATGAATTCAGGAGATACACTGTCATTTCCTTTTATATCTCCAGGTGTTTTATTTTCCTTGTGTTCAAAGTTTTTCTTTATCTTTTTACTTTTAACTTCTTCAAAATGCATTTCATCATCCGACTCCTCATCTATCTTTCGTTTGGTCGTTCTCGGAGGTGCAACTTTCTGTCTCATGTTCATAAATTTTCCATCCTCATCCATCTTTCCTACTTTGATGTCACCCATGTTTGTAATTAGTACATGGCCATTCATAAGGGTGCTAAGCTCTCCAACCACAGGCTCCGGTTTTTTTGGCTTCTTAGGAAGTTTTACTTCCTGTTTTGAACCTGATTAAGTAAATAATAATTGAAACCCTTCAATATTGTAACTAAGGAACATGTTGCTCTTAATCATATGAAAAATATTAAACTATGATAGATGAACATTTTCATTTGATAAATCAAATTTGTCCAGACTGTATTTAGTAACAAACCATCCATATCTTTTCACATATACAGAAATGCTATTAATGCCATCTAATTGTTGTATAAAAGTTCCATTTCCAACTTTGGTCTTAAGAGTTTATATGTCAGTCAATTTTGCCTAAGGACATTTGTGATTTCTTGCAGTTAAAAAATCTTTTTGATCTTTTGTTTACTTTTAAATTCATTTGTTTTTCCATAGTGCAAACCTTACATTGCTTAGAACTTAAATAAAACTGTGATAGTTTTATATCATCAGTCAAACAGAATAAATTTCTTACTGAATGTGGCAAAGAGAGGAAGAGCAAGGGATTTTCCTGTGCGCACATACACACTCTGTATGTTGGCAGGTCCTCCAGGCAGAGCTGCACATATGGACTCCACAGCTTTCATGACATTGTCAGCCAATTTCTCGACAGACATATCGGAGTATCCTACGGTTGCTGCACTGTAAAGAAAAAGATACAGAATGTTATGGACAGAGAAGTTGGCAGAATCTACTACAAAGTCAGAATTGCTATATCATATTTCTGCTGTAAATAATCTCTGTAGTTTCTCTCCTTAAATGAGTGAGAAAACTTTGTTTTTTAGATAAAAGCAATGATTTGTAGTGAGGCTGACATGCATAAAACAATAATGCATTTGTTGTCATATGAATTAAATAGGGAGATGAAGGACTACCTCTCACCACGCTTAGTTGAACAATATATTGGTGCAATACAAGTGGGGTTCATGCTACAGAGAGAAATATGCATAAAATTTCTATTGAAACTACAATATAGGTTTAAAACACAGGAAATACTGATATTTTCCTCAGTACAATAAAAATGCATTTTTTCCATTTTCATCTCCAGAGGTACAAAATTTCTTATTTCATGGCAAAATCGAACACAAAAATATATAAAGAAGTGTGAAAATGTCAGAACTACAAATTTCATCATTGAATCAATGAAATCTCTTCGAAACAATGATCTATTGTAAATAAAGGCAGAAAGTCACAGTCACATTTACCTTGATGCTCCCATTCCAGAAATGATACATCTGCTGTCGTACACAACCTTTTCTATCTCCTCTTTTAAGTTTGCTGCTTTCAGATTAACCTGAATTGGATGCCTGAAACGGATTATTAAATTTGTTACAACCATATTGGAAGTAATATCTTTTTTTTTTTATTCTTTTCCACAACTTCATTTGATGATGTAGATCAAAAATCGTCTGTTGCTAATTGAACAAAGTCAGGGGAGACAATCTGTCCTACATAGATTGCATGATTTCTAATGATCTATTACACACATATACATCAACACTCTGTTGGTTCCCATTCCTATTCACAAATGTATCATTGTTTGCAAAATTTGTGACCTTCAACCCTTTAACCTTGACCAATGACCACATTAATGGAAGGTGTAGTATTTGATATTAAGATAATATAGAGATATATTGCTGCAGAACCTGATGTTACAATGAACGGACTGTCAAGGTATCACTTCTACACTACAAAATAATTTCATTGGATTAAATCCTTTCTACATACTTCCTTTTTCCGTAGAAGTTTTTTCCCAGCAATGAAGGTAACAGGCGCATGATCCTTTCATCTGATACAAACAGGTCAAACATATTGGCAAGATTTCGCTTTGCCTCAAAAGGTTTGTACTCCAGCTTCAGGCACTTTAAAGGTATAACCTAAAGGACAAAGAAACATCACAGATCAGAGCAGATTTATAAAAATTGTTCAACTTGTGTTTTCAATGATTAATACATAAAGCAGCCAAAAGCCTGGCTACAGACTGATCAAATACATCTGTAAACAGTTCCATTTAAATCCATTGTCATTAAGCAAAATTAATGGAAATCAATAGGACAATCAGAAGTGAAGTCCCTGATAAACAAGATAATGTAAGGTGTGACATCCCTAGTGCCCGCTGTTCAAAAGAAACACACAATCATATATACTCATGTTAATATTCCAATTTAATTTCTATTTGTTATTTTTAATTGTTCCATACAAAGTATTGAAACAGAGAAATTCTACTAGAGTGCTAGCTTGATGCCTGTTCAAAGTTTTGAGTATCAGGTAATTACCTTAAACAGATTGAGAGAACTGGTCTGAAAAATCTGAAATATGTAATCTGGCCTATACATTTCTGTGGTAATAGAAAAGTACTTAAATGGAGAGCTTCCCCATAGCAAAAGATACTACTACTTTAATAAGTGTAAAACGTTTTGAGCTATTATCTTGAACAGTTTCAGAACACTGGTACAGAAAAAGTAAAATTTGTAATGAGGGATATCTGTTTCCATGGTAACAGAAAAAAAAAAACTTAACTAGAGCACTAACCTAATATATACAGAAAGTTTTGTGGAGTTGATTTGAATGGTTTTGAAGTGGTAGGCCAGAAAGGAAAGTTTACACTTATTTTGTGTTTTTTTTTAACTATACTGCCATGATAACACAAAAAATATAAAAATAAAATGTTGTCAATATCAAAAGGCACAACTAGGGCACTAACTTATGCATACAGAAAGTTTTGTGAAGTTGAGTTGTAGTTGATATCATCCACAAAAGCATTTCATGGAGTCAAGAACCTTATCAAGTATAAACGTCAATTACATTTATTGCATAGACTAAAAGCAGGCCAGACAGATGGATGGACATTCCCAAATAAATATAAATGCGTATGAAAGACTCATTTTCAGGAAGTTATCATGTCAGAAAACTTGCTGGCATGGCGCCAACTCACACATAATCATAAAAATTCCAAGTCACAAAGGGTATAAAAACAAGTTTAATCCGTCGACCTAGCTGGACCTTACAGGTAAGAGGGACAATCTATTTCTTGGCAGTCTGCAAGGTGTAAAAAGTTGGTTAAATGGAAGTGATCTGACATGACAATGTTTACATAATGCTTCCAGGGGGCGAGGGGTTCTTGCTTAATAAACATTGCACTCCTACAAAGATATTTAGGAACCATGCTTTTCCATACTCAAATCTTCAGAACCCAATAAATTTCTTCATAACTGGACTCATCAAACTTTTGGAAATGGTGCTCTGGATTCCCAGAAAAAATCAAACAGAAATTACTATCGTATATATCCCTACCCGTTGTGTTGTTCTATTTTTTAGATTCACATTTGATAACGAAGTAATAGATTTATAATACAAACCTATTGGTACAATATTTCAAATTTTCACCATAACATTATTTCTAAAAATTTTCTTAACACCTGATTGCATTTATACATAAACTCTGGTTATTGATCCTATACTGCTGGTGCTTCCTCAGTTAAGAAGTATCTAGAGTAGTCTGCCCCTACAACAGGCCAGTGGTCAATAGTCCCACTGACAGGCCATTTGTGAGTAGTCAAACTGACAGGCCTGTTGAAAGTAGTCCTACCTACAGGCCTGTTGTGAGTAGCCCCACCGACAGGCCAGTTGAGAGTAGTCCCACCGACAGGCCAGTGGTCAATAGTGTTCATAGGAAGAAACTTACCTGAGTTATGCAACTGATGCCTTTTGATGACAAAAGATCTTTAAAGTGTCGTTCTGTCACTTCATGTTCCCTTGAGGACTTATTAAGGTCCTTTACAAAAAGGCAGACCTCCTGTTCTGGTCTCCATACTGAATGTGGTAACCTCCTGAAAGTTAAACCACAGATTTTCTCAAATATCTGATAATACAGAATCAATCTTAGATCAGTATCATGAAAGTTTTGAACACTATTCATCTTTAATATTTCCATAGTAAAAATGACTTGAAATGCAGTGGGGACCTTTTAAGGTTGCACTGATTAAAATCACTTTATGGATATAACACATTTTCCAAAACTGATTTTCAAAAGGAATATTCCATGTAATTCCACATCTAATTCATGTCAAAACGGCTAGGTATCACACACAGCTACATTATGCATTAAAAGGGAAGCCTGTTTTGCATTTCCTATATTTTTAATCCCAATAGTTTGAATCAAGGTAAATGTTGCTCATTATAATGTGTTTGGATTCAGATTGTTGTGTCTGATGAAATAATATAGAAGTATTTAAAACTAGATTAAATTCATACTGACTGGTCTATTAAAGCAAACTACAATATTCTTCAGTGTTAACTATAAGGTCAAGGTCACAACATTGTCATACAAAGGTCAACGTCATTACAACACAGTAGACTAAGTAAAACATTGCTAAACAAAGACAATGTATCAGAATTCCTAGTTCGATAGTTTTATGCTTGAAACACGACAAGACTTACTCTGAAACTTGTAACATGCTCAATCTCAGCCAAAAGGTCAAAGGTTGTATAGAAGATGTAATGGCCCAATATTAACAATTGAAACACAAAATGATTACTATAAACCGGCTCACAAAATCTTGCTTCCAATTGTGAAATATTGGTCAGGATATGCTATGGAAACTGAGGTGCAAAGACTGATAAGATGAACATTATGTTATGTAGCAATGATTTCTTCCAAAGAAATGTATAAAAAACAAAATATCATGTCTTTCTATAGCAAAATGAAGTACTGTGTGTATCCTAACCATTTGCAAGGTTTTAAATGTATTTCTTCTTACTTACAGCTTAATAATTTTGTTTTTGACACTTGGAATCTTTTTCACAGCAAACTGTAGTTGTATTTCCTCTTTATCATCAGACAACAGAGCTTTCTTTTTGTCTCTATTCACCGACTTCAATAACAGCTGAAGAGTTTTCAACACCTAGAGGTGAAAAGAAGAAAATATATATTACCAAATTTTTCAATTTATTTATTTCATCTATTTTGCAACCTGGGTTGATTTACTAAAAAGGGGAGGAAGGAGTCAACGCTGGTCTGGTAGATAGGTAGATAGGGTCTTTAGGTTGATAAACTGCTGGAAGACGGATACCAACAGGTATGCAGGGAGTCACTCAATAAAATTAATAAAACATCATAAGTAGAAGTGTTCTCAACATCAACCAAATTCAACAAGTAGTAGGTATAATTAATTACTTTGCAGACCGGTTTCATCAGTTAAGGCTCTTCAGGGCAAAATTACTACAATTTCTTGCCCTAATGTACCCTCAATGAGGTACCCTCATCACATGAACGTTATATTGTTCCATTGTCACAGGCATAGTAACTCTTTATTACCAGATCATTTTAAAATGTTCATAGTGCAACAATTATCCTATTTACCATTGTGATTAAAATGCTATAACGCTCAAGTTTTACACTTATATCTTTATATATATATATATTAGCTGATTTAGTGGTGTCAAACTGAATTGGCCTAGCTAATACAAATAAACAAAGCACCATGATACTGACTTGGACAGTTTGCATTAATATATGTAGTAAACATTTCATTTATTGTTAGATCCTTTTTGTGTCAGTTTTGTGTACCTGACAATGATGGCGGCCTCACAGAATCTTCAAATTTTCCATTAAAAAAACTGAAAATCCAAAAGCTATGCAAAGTACAAACCCCCAAATTTAAATACTTATTTTCTCAAAAAAAAAATCTACACACATAATGTGGGTTTTTATGGTAATTATGAAACACTTTCACACTGCAAAGTACTGTATTTTTTGGGCAATATAAGGCCATGTCTGGCAAAAAGCCCACACTCATATGTATTGCAATTTAAATTAGTAAAATTATTAACCAATGCTATTTCAATGTCCTGTAATAAGCAACCCCATATGTTTATACGCATATTCCTATAAGTAAGCAGTATAATTTGGACAACAGAGTATACTGTAGGTTAATTAAGGTATTCATGTAGGTACACTACCAGGATCCAGCATGACAATTCAACCACTGCTACAGAATGTAATATTCCTCATGATGATGATCCTGATCAACTTTAAAACATATTTTCACTTTAGCTTTGTAATGTCTTCCAAACATATACAACAGGACTTCATGCCAAGAACCTTTACTTGAAAGCTACTAAACTAATAGCTGGATATTATTTGACTGAACTAGTCCAGATCTTCTATGCATCTTCCACTTCCTTGTTAGGTCACATTTCCAGAAAAAAACATCAAGTTCTGATAGTAGCAACTAATTATTGTTATCAGTGTTAACAATAATTAAGAGAATGGGAATAGAGCGACAGATCTAATACAGACTCGCATCTGGAACTCCGTAATCCTATCATGCTACAAAGTGGTGATAGGTGAATGGTGGTTAACCCAGTTGATATCTGATGATCATTCATATACTCTACTCAGCTTCTTTATATCAACCAATAACATGACACTCAATTATTGGATCAATAACCTTAGGACTTTAAAGGTATATTCAGTAAGTATATAATGTAATAATCTAATCAATTATACACTTTTAAGAAGAAACGAATTTATTTTTAGTTGCTAACATACCGTTTACAACCATGTTACAAAAAATACAACAATTAAATGATAGGCCAGTTTACAAGCAAAATCTTACTTACCAGGTAAGTCTTTTTACTGGAAGTAATTCTAGGGTGATATCAGTAAAATATTGAAGTTGCGAAAGAACTGCAAAAATAAAGAGATCTTATGCTTGTTGGGAGCTGGTGAAACTGGAGCGTATTTCCCCTGGTGTAAGATTATAGTCTAGTTCAATCACAACACCAGAGAGTTTTTCTAAGAAAGAAATACTACTAGAATGGTCCAATTGTCACTTGACAGAGAGTTCACAAAAACTACTTGCTTTTATAACATTATCTTCCTGTGTCTTACCTCTTCTTTCTGCATCACATCCAAACATGTTTTCTGCCACAACTTAACCTTGTGAGTCAACATTATGAAAAGAAGAAAATATATATATATCAAAAATTTCTATCCAAAAACTCACACACATATCACATCTTGATATCTAAGATGTTGAATTCTAAATAAAAACAAGCCAAGCAAAATGATTACATTTAGATGATTTTGTACAGTTTTTTTTAAACTTCCCATGAAATCCTTACATTTACATAATTTTGCAGTTTTCTATGTTAGCATCCAATGAAACCCTAACTTGTACAGAATATCCCTTTAAGCATCATTTGTATAGAAAGAAGACATATTGAAACACCACTTAATTCAGCTGAGGTTTGAGCTTCTTGTCCCCACAGAGGCGGCAGATTGTAGTATTTGTAACAGAAGAGGTTAAGTAAAATAGGGAAAGATCCAGAAACTTAGGAAGCAATTAATCAAAGTTGCCTGTGGGTATTGGGCACCCTGCCCATCCCTAATACATCCTATTTTAAACATGACTTTAAAACCTCCTTTTCAACTAATCATTCTAAGTGACCATCAGTTTCAATTCAATACCAATTCTTACAGCCAATAAGTACATATTACATACATATAATACATGATACTAGTTAATAAAACAGCAAGTCAAAAGCAGAACAAGTTCAAGAAATACAGATCTTTTCTTCGTTGATTCAAAATTAAATTTGCTAAGACAGCTTAATTCCTTAATGTTGTATGGCATATGTCAACAGTACCAGTACCATGCAACGTTGTTGGTACAGTGTGGGCTTATCCTGCACACTTTTGAAACATACCTTTTCTTTTTCCTCCTCTTCAGATCTTGTTTCCTGCATTTTCTGATCTGTACTAGTTGCTTCGTCCTAGTATAAATAAATATTTAGATTACGGTGTCTCATACAATGAATGAATTGTGTTTTGATCGTGATTTACCAGATTAATCATTTTATCAAGTATCACTTATTATTTGCTGAAACCATAAATAAACACTGTACGCTGATAAAATAAGTATCTATTATGACAAAAGCTGTACTTGAATTAAGAACCTTAACAAGAAACAACTGATTCCAGAGGATCTCTGCACCTACAATTTGTATGGTCATAATTACTCTTCTTTCCCTTGTCTCCAAAAACAAGAGTACCAGTGCCCCTCAAAAACAACTTTTTTTGACACGAAGTTTTAACAAAGGGCAATAGCTCTGTAACTAAGGGGTCATGAACCCTGACTATGCTACATATATGTGTACACTGGATCTTACTTTTGTATGACTGATGTATATAATAGCTTTTCCAATATCCTAGGTTAAATGCAGGCACAGTAATGCCTCAGACACAAAAATTTTAACAAATAGCAACACTTCTGTAATTAAGGGGTTGGGGGCCCGAACATTGATACACTGCACATTGTCTTCATATGACCAATGTATACACCAGTTTTCACTATCCTAGTTTAAATACCAGCAAAGTTATGCTCTGGATATAAAAATTTTAACAAAGGGCACTAATTATTATTTAGGGGTTGAGGGTACACTGCACAATGTAATAGTATAATCAATGTATACGCCAGATTTTGTGATCCTTGCTACAGGCAAAGTTAATCTCTGGACACGAAAAAAGGGATGGAAAGATGGACTGATGGACAAGGTGGTGATATAAGCTCGCCCAAAAATTTTCAAGGAGTATAATAAATACACAAAAAAAAAACCAGACCAAGAGAAACCTAATTATCAAAAAGATGAATAATCCAGAACCTCTGATAATACAAAGATAAACAACTACAACTGTATTAATCCAAGATGGCCACCTGTCAGTAATTTTTTTGGCCTATAGACAGGGCTCTCAAACCCCATTTTGGGACTGGGGCCCGGAGCCCCATAGAATTGGGAAAAATAATGGTGTTTTCCTTAGAATTGGGAAAACATGGGATCTAAATTGGGATACTATTTGGCATTGGGAATGGGGCCGAATATCGGCCCCAAATCTGGCAGATCGAGAGCCCTGATAGGGAATGAATAGGATCTACATATATAAATTGCAAAAACAAACTTCAAATTCATAATCTAGAATGAACATGTCAGTTTTTCTCGATTTTTTTTCAACTAGTCAAAACACTGAACACATAAAACTTGGGACCAAAGGAAATTTACATATGGAATTTGAGAAAGATCCATAAAGATCTTCCCAGGAAATAGTGATGTTAAGAACTTCTTAAATGAAACTCTACCAACAACAAACAGATTTACCCATATATTCTACTATTCACAAACTGATAATTGTTATTGTCCTCGTTCAGTCTCAGTTATATAGTATGAATTGTTAATCCCCCAAATGAACTCTGTTGTGTTATTTTTATGCATTGTGTGACTTGAAATTATACAAGACATTATTGTAAATCATATATTGCCAGAATGCATACCAAACCATGTCAAAATTTTGTATCTTCAATTCATAGAGGGAGAAATTCTGACTACTGACTGTGACAAAGACAAATTAGAAGTAAAAATTGTGGATAATCATAAACTTTCGGAGAACATCAGGTGGTACATACTCTACTGTAATTTAAATTTGTGTTATGATAGTAATAGTAGATGGTAGGATAATTTTACCTCTTCATTTCTTGTGTCTTCCCAAACTGTTTTCTGCTTTTTTTTATCTTTGCTTTTAGGCACCTAGAAAAAAGGAAGCAAACATACATGATATTTTGACTTTTTTCCAATATATAAGACATCCATTTCATAGCTAGATTTAAACCGTTGTTAGCTAAGGGAACCCGCATTACAGTGTTGTAAATGTGTGTACTGGATCGATAGCAAAACAGATGCTCCCTTACACTCGGTGAACAACTCAGTTAAATAGTATTAAAAATAAATAGGATCAAGCTATAAAGAGCACGAACGCTTTCATATATGTTAAACACTAATCATCTATCTTGAAACCGCTGTATTGATGAATATATGATTTTAACTCAGTGTATTCAATATTTTAAGTGCATATAGTGACCGACGTATCCGATATACCGTTGGATATCATATATCAAACTACGGACTTAATGATTTCACAGATTTATCATCTCATTTGTATAGTTTGAAATAATCGTCCTTTCTAAAGATATGGTGGTTGTTACAACATAATCATCGTATTGATATACCTTTTCCTTCTTCATCTCTAGTCCTCCTGTTCACACAATTTAGAACACGTGTGATTCAAATTGGTATGTAGTAGATTAAACGGAGGCCGGTGAGACGTGCCGCGAATATTATTCAAAATAAACTACAATGCTTGAATTGACGATAATTTTGTAAGCTTCATATTTCATCATATTTAACACATACAATTTGCATCACCATACGTTTTTGACACAATCGTATACACAGAAGTTTATTTTTTTCTCAAGTCGATCCGTAAACAGGCACCTGTTTCCTCTCCTCAGCTGAAAATGTATATGGTACCATAAATAAGTCTTCCGTACGCTTTAATTGTACGCAATTTAGCAAGAAATAATATAAGTGTTTAATGTACACAGATCGGTGTAATATGTTTGGGCAGACGAAAAGCTATGGAGAGCCACGTCAGAGTAAATAATGATTTGAAGAGTGTTGAAATGCAGCACTAAAATGAGTTCTACCTCTTATCCGTCGACAGTTCATGACTGGATGAAGGCAATACGGAGGCCAGTACCCTACAGAGTTGGCAATGCGCGCCTTCATGTCAAAACTCGCACTGTTGCATATGGAGTATTATTCATGGCAGCAGTTCTTATACTAGTTGTTTATATACTACCTTCTCAATATATACAACGAAATTGTCCTGATATATATCCAGTTTTGCATGAGTATGATTATCCATTTACATCTCCTGTTAAAAATGAATCCGGAATTCATTATAAAATAGCTGTTGTGACGGATTTAGATACAGAGTCTAAGAGTGAAAAAGACAAAAATACATGGTTAAGCTACATGTTATATGGAACTTTGTCAATATCTACTGATCAGAAATATGTTACTACGAAATTCGATGTGAAGCCGAAAATTCTTAAATCCTCATTAAGTCTAGGAGGGCGTGGGATGGAGCTTTCCGAGCTTATTGTTTTTAATGGAAAACTCTACACAGTGGACGACAGGACGGGAGTTGTGTACGAGATCATTGACAATATGGCGATTCCTTGGGTAATACTTACAGATGGTGATGGCAGATCTCAGAAAGGTATCAAACAAGTTAATGTACTTAAATCAACCATTTACGGTCAATAATACATTTCCACGGTAGTGTATGTATTTTTTTAACTAATAGATTTTTAGCTAATAAGTATCAGAGACAGAATTTCTACTGATGCTAACACTTGGGATGCTTTCATTGTTTTACATCATGCGAGCAAACTGGTTCATTAACATTTTAAGTATAATTAACGTTTAAGGCATAAATCACAATAAATCAGCATACGAAAAAGGTTTTATAAAGAAGCAAAAAAAGATCATCAAATCCATTCTTAGTTAATTCATTAATTAACTTTCCTGGTCTGACTAGTCAAACCAATAAAGAAAACAGTCTAAGAATTGGAGTTTTGACAGATGTTGAATCCTTCATTGACCATGCTGAGTGCGTGTGTTGGGATAACAAAATTAATCTGTGATATAACATCTTGTGTCTTCTAGTATTTACCAAGGTTACATGTGATAACTATATGGAAAATCAGATCACTCTGTCGTGATGTAACATGTACCATTTTGTATTTACCACGGTTAAATTTGATGCTGGTACATGTAACTCTGGTAAATACTAGCCCCAATATACTGCTCGACTAGAAAGATCTTCTCTTTAGTTCAATCATTGAAGTTTGAGACTTGTAAACCAGAGGTCCCTGGTTTTAATCATAATGGAAGGTTAGAAATAAGTAATGATCTGTGTTACATCTAGCATTGATAGGCAAGATTTTTTTATCTGAAATTTCTTATTCACTGAAATCTATCCTGTAAAAAGCCCAGAAGCATGTACATAATCTTTTGAGTCAAAATCAGGAAATGGCCTTTTTCATGACAGGACAATGAAATGGAAGTTATAAGCACAATGATTATTGTAATTCTGCCACAGCAATAAGTATGGATGGGCTTATTACCAGGCATATGGAATTATAACTTGATAAATATGTTAGTTCCAAATTGCATTTTAATTATGTTTGTGCAGTCCATTACTTCCTGCAGCTCAAATTTACTTGCTTGAGTTAACATGCTATTTTGTAATCTTTTTGTAAGTATTTTGATGTGAATTGTGAAAAAAGCAACATAATGCTGAAAATAATAGTTAAAGTAGTCTTTTTGCCGATAGAATTAAAATTATTTTGTAACTTCAATTGCCATTAATCTGAAACAGATCAACATCTTTTGAAAAAAATATCACCATGACATATAAAAACTAAATTTATGAGGTACATTGTATGACAGGAACTTTTTCATTCTTCTAGATATTGTTAATGCACATTTTCCAATACCTTATCTTTAATTTTCTTGGTTTTGACAGGTTTCAAAAGTGAATGGGCGACTGTTAAAAATGGAAAGTTGTATGTTGGAGGTTTGGGTAAAGAATGGACAACACAGACTGGGGAAGTGGTCAATTTAAACCCTCAGTGGGTAAAGTCCATATCAGCCACTGGACAGATTGTACATCATGACTGGCACACTCATTACAATGCCATGAGGAAAGCCACTGGGTACAGTCTACCAGGTAATTATTCTTTGCCTGGTTTGAATTTTGCTAATGAGCAGTTATACATCTTGAAAAATAATTTTAAAAAGATTTATAAAATGACATACGATAATTCATAATAATGAAAAAATCTAGAAATTTATGTCATTTTTTTGTTCTGATTCCAGTCATAATGTGTTAACACTGTAATACTACTTCTTTAATGGCTGCCTTTTGAATTTAACATTTTAGATAATAAAATTTCAAATTTTAATTTTTGAATTTTATTTCAATTTCGGATCCGATTGTTGAAAAATGTGACCGCAAGATCTGAGATTGCCATTTTGAACAATGATGTAATAAGTTTACTTGTTGCAAAAGTATTTTAAATATAAAACAGATTCAAGTCAGTTTTTTTTCTGTGTTCTTGTATACTTAAAATGTATACTATGTAAGAAAAATGCCAGTCTTTATGAAGGCTATGAGTTTGAATAAGCTATACATCTTGCATGTGATCTTTAACACATACCAAGCAGGTATGTTGGTGTATGCAGAATTTTAAACTGAAATAAATCTAAATGCTAGTTATTGATGACTTATTTATTACACTCTGTTGACACGAAATGGGATATGTATATATACTGATATGCTCAGGTCTCTAATTAGACAAGTAAACATGATAGATGTTTCATATCTAAAAACAAAATGTTGAGCTCTACTACTTGGTGTAGTGTTTAAAGTTACAAGTTGGTTAAAAAAGGTTACTCATTCAATGAGATATTTTCTTTTTGGTTTAAAATTTCGGTGTCACAAACCTCCAGTCATTAAATATCTGGTCAATACCCGTCAAAGTTGAGGTGGAAGGGTGTTTTAAAGGGTCATTAAACAACATTATGTTTGATGATTCTTTTGGCCATATTAAGATCAAAAATCAATTTTTGAATTTTTATATACTGATCAAAATTGTTCAGTGGATCTAGGAACTGTCATGATTAAAGCAGGTTGATAATGATATGACCAATATCAGGTTGAACTGATGAATCAGGTAAGTCTGCAACGCTGGAGTTAGAGTAGTTTATATTGATTGTTTATTACTTTTATTAAGTATTTTTACTTCATTTCTTTGATTCCTTTCCAGGATATATGATCCATGAGTCTTCTGTATGGAGTGACATTCACAAGCGTTGGTTCTTCCTTCCTCGTCGAGCCAGCAAAACGAGATACGATGACAAGATAGATGAAAGAAGGGCAACAAACATGATGATAATAGCAAATGACAAATTTGATGATATTGAAATAAGATACATAGGTGTTAAAAATGAGTTACGAGGGTTTTCTTCATTCAAATTCATTCCAGAGACTAATGATCAGATGATTGTTGCGTTAAAATCAGAGGAAGTAGATGGAAAAGTTGCATCCTATATACTTGTATTCACTGTTAATGGAGATATAATTCTATCAGATAGAAAAATTGGAGACTATAAATTTGAAGGACTAGAATTCATTTGAGATAATTGCTGAGAGCATAAATGTTTTGCATCAAATTTATTAAGATGATTGTTACATATATTTTTATGGATATTGAAGATGTACAATACAAACAGGGTAGAGGATCTTATCCTGTCACTGGATTTTTGTCTACAATCTTGTGAGGGTGTGAATGAAATAAACAATTCTTGAATTATCTTGAACAACTTACCCAATCGTCCCAGGAAAAGTATTATTATATGATTAAGTTTGATAATATTTCTGTAAATGCATATTTTGGTAAAAATAAAGTATAATGTCAAAATCTCATAGAGAATTTATTTCCACCTTAAGAATTAGATTAGCTGGCACTCAAATTTAACATTAATTGTAGAGTAATATAATCTTACATGGGTTTGTTTTATTGACAGGTATTTTAACTGAGTGTAAGAGTGGCACAAGGTTTGAAATATACCTGTCCATAGTACAGACTTACGTTTAATTTTTTTCTCACAGACTTAAAAAGCCATAACCAATTGTAAGTTGTTGTGAAACCTAATCATCAGGCCATCATGTAATGTGTGTCGAAATTGATGACTTTATCAATTTTAGACATGGTTATGCTACATAAATTAATGATGCTACCCTATTATGAGTAGCCTCATGGCACATGCCAGCTGTTTTTCCCTACCCAGCATGAGATAACAACCACAGATTACCCAATGAAGTATGTTGGAATTTCATTTCTCGTGTTAAATACATATTGAAGATGATTCAGATTTGTACTGGTGTTATTGTAGTGCCATTTGCAATCAGGGATTTTTTTTACAGTTGTCATAGAAACAAATAACTGGTACTCAATAATATTTTATCCCTTCACTGTTTATATGCTATTCCTCCTCAAAAATTATTTCAGGTTTCTACAAAACCTATTACCCATATTAGGCTAGCCACAATGTTCTATGTATTAATTTTCCTTCCTAAGATTTTTCCTGTTAAGAATTAAGGGAAGGGAAGGAATGAGGAGGGTAATGTTAAACAAGGGTGTAATTGTCTTTCAAATACAATAATTTATATATTTTTTCTTTTTTCCAAAGACAAATCGGTAAGTTGAGTAAAATATGTTGTGGAAAAGGATTCAAAATTTCATTCACACCTTCAACAAAATGAAGCTTACATATTTGTGTTCAGAAGGATTAATAACAATATATTTATTAGTGAATGTATGTCTATTTCTTTCGATATTGCTGTATTCTATTCAGAGGAACTTGTCTAACAAAATTGGTAATAAAATGTACATGTAAGCCTAGCTTCAAAGTCTGGGTCATTCTAAAAACTCAAAAGCTGATGGTCCGAATTTAAAGTTAAGATAGAAATTACATGTACTAGTAATGTTTAACAGAAATATGAGAGTTTTACAAACTCTACTAAACACTGCTGGTGAAATCATATTAAAAAGATAATCACTGCAATGATGATGAAAATATATGAAAAACATGAAACTTTGTCTCCATAGTGAACTTTGTAACATTGTCTTTTTAAACGTTCATTATCATACTTCTTGTTACCAGTACATAAACTATGTATTGATAACAACCATTCACCTGTCCTCCTTATCTGAAAGGCAAGCTCTTCAACTTTCTTGATAATGAAGGTTTAAAATTTTATTTCTGACAACAATATTATCTAAAAAGTTTGAGAGGCCAAGATGATGAGTGGTTAAAGCATATGACTGTCTTAATCATTAGCCCTCTACCTCTGGGCCACAGGTTCCATGTCTACTTGGGAGAAGTCATGAGGTACTGGCCACAGATCAGTGGTTTTTCTCAGGGAACTCCTGCTTTCCTCCACCACTGAAAGCTGGCATATCCTTAAATGACCCTTTTTATTAATATTACATATAGCATCAATAAACCAAAATATAAAAAGTTCAAATTTACCAATTTTAAAATAGAGCATAATAAATTATTATTTAAAATTTGCATGAATAAGGTCATAATTCTACTGATATTTCACAATATCAATTTTCAAATTATAAATATCAGATCAGTGGATATCTCATTAGTTTAACACTGTTGTCAGTGAAACAATTCAGGCATGAAAAGATTGGACTTCCTTTCTTTGTATGTTTATGGTACAAAAACATTATATAAAACCCCACTAAATCTACTTTGAAGTAAATATCAATTTTTTTTCTGATTTTGGCATTCCTTGTCAATATTTTCTTTCTATTCAATTTTGAAATAGTTTCTCTTATTTTATGTAGTATATTTTACAAGTTACCACATGATAAATATGCATACAGAAATTTGTGTTAATTCATTACATCTATAATTCTATAGTCATAAATGTTTTTGCCATATGAGATATGAAACTATGTCAGATACACATCTCCAGTCATGTACTTTTACATTGTTTTTTTAACCTAATTTTTATTTTTTTTCCTGCTTATTGTTCTTACAACTTTTTGTGATATTTATCAATTATGCTTTCAGTGTCAACTTTAAAGGTCAATAACAAATTTTAAAAACCCAGTTCAAATAAACTTGGGATCTACCTAACTGCTCTTGTCTCAAATGCAAAGCCAAATGATATCTTTGCTTATCTATATGGCTTGAGAATGTACTATATTCATTAATTTTCATGGGTATTTTTTTGTTGATTTCATGGGTACTCTTAATCCACGAGTTCATATGTCCACAAACTTTTGGAATTAGTAAAAGTAGCTTTATTGAGCTATATTTATCCATAAAATCAAGTGTTCTTGAAATAGTGATTTATGGAAAAAGAACACAAAAATTGAACCCCACAAAAATACTTGATTCTACAGTAATTGACTTCTAGACTTGATTGATATCATGATAACAGCAAGTCAAGAGAAACTGGAAAAAGTCATGTTAGAAATTGCAGTGAACCTCTAATTTCATATTGGTACTATTTCACGGATTTGTTTGCAAAGATATCATTATTCTTTTATTATATCTGAACTCTTCTGTTTTAATTTTGACTGCAGAGTTTTGAAAGGCTTCTTATGGATGGTTATGTTGCTGTAAATTTTGTTAGCATTGAACAAAATATCACACTTCAATATTGTTTATAAAACATGTGTATTAGACTTTTGTATAATTATAAGTACCAGTGTTTTTTCATGTGACATGAGAAAGCTTTTGGACAGTGATGTGCATTTTGGCAGACTTGCATGTAACAATAATGATAAAGTTTGCATTTTACTGGTATTCAGACACAAAGACAGTATAATGATCTCTTCAATTTGATGCTTTTGTAAGAAACAGAAAACAGAAACAGAACCAAAAAAATTATTATTGAATTTCAAGCTTAAAATTTTAATGGTAAAGTTTTAAATATAATGTTGAAGTTGTTATGGATAGGAGTCATTTATAATAGGTGTTTGTTATGGTACTGTTTCTGTGTTACAATTTACTATCAGCTTTTAGCATTTTTTACAAATTAATTCTTCCTAAACACTACAAATAATATCAAAGTAATTTTTTCCATCTATGATTCCTATTTAAAAATTTGTAGGGAAAAAGTAACGATCATATTTTTTTTTATCTTCCTTGTTGAAAACCATTTAAGCCATGCCTACAATAAATCCATCAGTGTATCATTTAAAGGTTAGTATGTTAATATGTACTTGCACAATAACAAGACTGTCAAAAGTTCTTATTTGTAATTGTTCATAAAACATAAAAAAAATGTCTTTTTTAAGCAGGAAGTAGCTAAGATTATGTTTAGTCAGAGTTTAAAGATATGCATTGGATAATTATTTTACTATGTATACCATAGTCATTAATTTATTCCTTAATCCACATCTCATCTTCATAGTTCCTTTTCCAGTAACAGTAATTAAGCTTCCGTCAACAAATATTTGAGAGTTAGGGTTATAATGCATTAAAATCATGTAATTTTTATGGTTCTTTTTGATGAAAGTAAAGAGATTCAAAGGTACCTATCAGTGTTTATTAGAACTAAAAGATCATACAAGTATTTAAATATATGTTAGTTACAATAGTACTGTAATGCTGTAATATATTTATTTCTTTTTAAAAGATAGTCCCGGGGTTTGCTGGAAAAGCCTTGCAATCACATATCATATATATTATGAAATCATTGTATGTTTTACGTTGATGACTTGTTGTCTGATAGTGATGTATATATATGTATTACAGAGTTAAATGATATTGGTATTACAGTCACTGAAAGGAGGACTGCAAGTAAAGAGTATGGAGAAACCATCACAGATCAATCAAATCTTAGCTTTCTAATCTTTATCTACTTAAGAAATACGAGAAAGTGCCATAGATTACTGTAAAGTAAATTAATTTTAGGTTGAATTTATATCTTTACACTTGTAACGTACAGGATATGGGTATAAACTGATTATGTTGATCATATGGACCATTATACCATACAAGTGTGAGAGCTAATCAAACAAGCTATTATATACTTAATGAATTCCAGACTATACACTTTTTTGAGTCTGTATGATTTGTTATTATGAGTAAGATAATTTCATTTCAATCTGTTCAGTGTTGTATGTCTGTGTGCTGAGTATTCTTGTTACACTGCTACATGTAGTGTACTTGTGACAGATGAAGAAATAAACTTATATTTTGAAAATTTGTTCTGTTACTTATTTAGATATTTATTGTAATATTGATTATAACAACTGCAACAAAGTTAGGGGTTATACTGGAATCACCCTGTCTGGATGTCTGTCGTATGCAAATATTACACAGAGAACTTTTCCTATTCCAAGGAAATATTGATATAAAAGACCATATGTACCGGTAGATATTCATCAACTTTTACTATCAATGGCCATTACTCCGCGGTCATTTGACAGATTTTATTATTTTTATCATGGTCAAATGGTATATAACTAATTAAAACCTATAGAAGGATGCCTAAGGTGTCTTAGAAAGAGTTATTATGGCAACACCATCCTGGACTCTGATTGGCCAAAATTTAGATATTATCTGATTTTTACCAAATTTGATGCAAGGGTACAAGGGGATGCCAAATATCACTATGGGTTTTATGTGTTATATCACTATGAAGCAAAATTGGCCGGAATTAAACAAGGGTAGCTGTACATTGTTTCTCTATGTAGCCATGGGTGATAATTCGTTCATTAGATTATGCCATTATAAAGGTTTTAATTATCATTTTAAAAATAAATCTTTGCTAAAATTGGTCTTGTCATGCTGAAGCGGACAATATGGGGTTTCATTTTTTCAGAATAATATTTTAGCTTTGTGTTGGAGATTACTATTTGGGCAGACTGAAATCTGTGACTACGCACCAAAAATAGCTTTACAGAAAGTCAAATTTTAGATGTGGTCATGTTGTGAAGGATTTCTTAAGATGGAATTTGCTGAAATATAACTAGTTTGTTACCATGACAGTATTGTTGATTTTATGATAGGTGTTCAGAAATAAATTTCTTCTCTAATATTGTAGTGTTTGGTTGGAATTGGCAGTATTTTTGCATTTTTAGCATTTTTCCAGTAGGTAACCATGACAATCATGTCAGAAATAAAAGGAAATTTTGTATTTACACAAATTTTATCTCTCTACAATTATTATGATTGTTATGTAGTTTATAAATATATATACATGTAATGATCTTTTTTTAAAACCAAACTGCTATACCGGTATATCTCAAACAGTTGACCAAAAGTCGGTGTCACTGCAGCAAAGGTCATGGTCAAATTTTGTATATTTTTCATCTATGGATATTTTATTATGACATTATGAAGAAAAGTTAGTTGATATTAAATAAGAAATCAACTGATTTAAAGTCAAGATCACTGTGGCAAAGGTCAAGTTTTGTATTTTTTTCACAGATGCGTATTTTCTTATGACATTATGAAGGTATTTTCCAAAATGTAGATTTTCCTTTGGTTGTCATGGTAACCGAACGAATGAAGAAGAAAATCCAAAATGTCTTGTCAGCTTTTGTTAGTATGGTCTTTTATATATAGATAGATATATAATACAACAGCACAATATATATTATATATTTATGTCTCCGAGATATTCATGGCAGATGCATGCAAAAGATGTTTAAATAATTTCCAACTATTTTAAAAAGTTGAAAAAATCTCTTTATTAAATGTGTTGTTATACATTAATTGAAAGGTTGTCTCCTAGTTTTCTGTCAATCATATGTAGCGGGTGGTGTTGTGCCAAAAAAAAAAAACCAAAACCGTTGGGTTCCTTCCATGTTTAATCGATGTAAAATAGACATTCTGGAATATACAATAGAACATAATCAAATACTCTCACAACTTCAAAAAAAGACAAAACCCGAGGAACCTGACATTTGAACATCCGTTTCACCCGCAAGCCATGATTCTAATGTATCCCGATAAAGTAAAAAACAAAGACGTATATCCAGGAGATAATTTCAACCAGAGACATATATAACACATGTGTTATAAGTGATATATACGTCTCTGTTTCAACCAATCAAACACCTTCGTCAAAGTCCGCCAAATGTCTTGTGTCCAGTCGGTCAGTGAACACTACTCACGTACATATGTACATACCTATACGCTACACAAAGGGACGCGCTCGCCAATACGTATAAACGTTACGCGCGCAGGTAAAACGTGACACATACGTCTCTGGTGACACTAACGATGTTCGCGATGATAAATAATACACACGTGCATAAACAGTACATAAATATATATTACAATACCAAATAAAGATACTACAGGAATCACTACCATTATACAAAATATGACCCTATTACATTGGGTGGTCGATTCCTGGAACGGACCTGAAAAGGTAAGATGTCACCTGCCCGACCCCGGGTGCTCTGGTTTCTTCCCACAATAAGACCCCTCGTGCGCTTAGATCCGAGCCAACAGGTGATTAGTATAAGTTGAAATAACTTGTTTCGCAATTGTTGTAAAATATATAAAGTTTATATTTATTACATTGTTTGTCTAGTGACAAAAAGAATGCGGAAAAACCAAAAAATAAAGGGTCTTCTATATTGTGATTGCCATTTTCTTTTCTGACAACGTTGGCAGAAATGTGATGATCATTAATTGGTGATTAGGTTGAAAATCTGAGAGGTCACTTACAAATGAAAGAAAAATCGTATTAGATATATCATCTGAAGTTTTGACACTAGTTCTGCAAGTAAGGGGGGAGAACTCATCATGAAGTCAGAAAGCTACCTAACTCTTTTGTAAAGGAAACCAAAGAACGTCCTCAGTAAGAATGGCGGAAGTGAGTGTCTGCGATTTTTTCCTATAATGATTTGTTTCAAATATATTTAATTCCCATCGTCTACCGACGGGCTAGTTTTACACTTATGATTTGAAGAGACGTGTAGTATTTTTGAGTTGTTGACAATTGGAAATACTGTGTAGAAATCGTTAACATAGTGGCAAGGTCTCGCTGAAATGTCACATGACACTAAACCCTGTAAACTGGTGTAACGCTGCTTCCATGATATGGATATATATAAAGCGCTCGCTATTATGGCAACGATATGTTCATATTAGGATATCGACCAATTCCTGAGTCTTATTTCATATAATTAACATTGTATACAGTCTAACTATCAAAGTGTACAGTGATACATCCGTTTGCTATAATCATTTCTCGTGCAATGATACAAATGTCATATTGTTGTTTACAGGAAATAAAAACACACCTGTCCAAATTGATGAAAACGTAAGTAGCAAATCTTTATAGAAGTATTTCTGAAACTTGAAATATGCAATTAAGAAATTTTATCCAAACAGTATGTCTATATTATATAAATTTTCTCCTGGAGATTAATTTTGACTGTTGGATAACACAGTTGACTTCTATTGTTTTAAAATGTTCAAAATGAATTAGTGTTTATTCAAAGAAATTCCTGTATACCTAGCACAAAAATCGGTCTTTGTTCAGTACTACGTAATTCTCGCAAATCATAATCTTTATAGGCATAGCGTTATCATGGGATGAGAAGATTTAGTCCGAAAGGTTATGACTTTCCGCGATTTTAGTTTTAGCTCGTCCGCGACTAAGTTAAATATGAAATCTTTGGACTAGAAAAAATTTATAAAAACTTTCGTATGTATTTTATTTTTAAAATTTTATTTTTTTGTAGCGTTACAGGCCTTTATGCTATCTTAGTAACAGACAGAGATGGTGTTCCAGTTGTCAAGGGTAAGGTGTATTGTTTTGGAGAAAAAATGTTTAAGTCTCTGTATTCTTTATTCTATAGAGTTGACTTGGCAACTATTGTCAATTATATGGCTTCCTTTTAAATAAAGGAAGGGGCAGTTCCTTAGGACTGTAAACTTGTGGTTAAGAGTGCATTACTATTGTTGCTAGAATGTCATACAAGTAACATCAGTGGCAAAAATGAAAATTAGAACTGGTGATTATAGGCACAAATATACATTACCAAGTACCAGATCACAGTACTTTTGGTTATTATTGCAAATTGTATATGTTTTTTTGGTATAACAGTGTCATCAGAGCAGGCCCCAGAATTGGCATTACGACAAGACTTTCTTTGTACATTCAGTGCAGGAACAGAGCAAGCCAACAAAATAGGGTTTAAGAAGAATAATGCTGTTGTCTGCATGTACCAAAACTATCAGGTATTGCAAAAATCAATGTTCACATTGTTACTGATATTGGCTCCAAAGAGTGGTGGAACATAGGCTGAAACTGTGGACAAAATGGGAATGTTCAACTACATTATCACATGATAGGAAAATATTCTCGATGATAATATTTATTAAAATTTTCCACCAACTCCTATCTATAACCAAATAAGGAATAAGTACTTAGCTGGTACAAGTAAACTGCTATCTTCTGACTGTGACATACATTGCAGAGAGTGATACAGGTGAGAGCATCAATCTCACTGTTATAAAGTTCATTGGGTTGGTGATTGATCTTAAGATATGGTGATAACATGTCATTGGTTAGCATTTGGTATTGAAATGAAATCCTTAAATCAATAACTTGAATTTAACAAGCTAGTATATCAAAATAAAGACAAGCTATTAAGGGTATCAAAAATCTTGGATAGTGCCAAACTGTTAGCTTTTTAATGTACTGTTAATAATTACAAAAAAAGTTCTGTTATATGCAAATTTGTCTCTTTTTTCTAGGTGGTACAAGTAAACTGTCGTCCTCTGACTGTGACATACATTGCAGAGAGTGATACAAATACAGGTGAGAGTAACTTATAGTTATTAGAGCTTTTGAGAACTTCTTATCAACAACTAACTTATTGGAGATAGTGTTTTAAACTTTCAGTATCTTTCATCGTCATACATTGAATGCTAATGATATCAGATTTCACTGTAGTCTACTTTTAATTGCATTTGATGAAATAAAATTCACAAAATGTTTACACCTATTCCTCAAGATATAAATGTAATAAATACATATTACATTTATATTGTAGATACATCTTTGACCTGTATACAACAGATTGCAAATTAAAGTTTTCTTTTTTTTCTTTTTAAAATAATACATGTTCATTTGTAGCATTACATGGTATTATCTTAAACTGTATCACAATATGAGTCAATACAATACAAGTCTAAGGGCTACAATACAGTGATTATCAGAGTGTAATATACATTCAGAGTTCACTATAAACTTAAAAATGAATTATTACATATCACTAAGAAAATATTTTTGGACTAAATGGTGTTTCCAATACATTGAATACATTTTCTGATTAATCTTATGTAGTATCCCTTATAAATATTGTCTTTGATTAACAATACACTCTCTATATCAGCCATGGTGTTTACTCAGATGTTTTGTAATGTTTTAACCAGTTCTACTTACCTCAAAACTTCTGGAGTGTATAAGGTGCATTATATAGTAACAGTAAAGTGTATTTGTATTGGTTGATAGCATATCATTTTGATAAGTGTTATTTGCCAAGACTTATCTGCCTTCACTATTCACTAAGTTATTCTATCATTTAGATCTAATAATTCTGACATCCAGAAGACTGAGTACCTAGTAACTGTCACATATGATATTAATACAGAAACCTTTACAACTGGATGAAGAATAGGTTTCTGTGTGTTTTTCTGTTCTTATATAACTCTTCTGGTTTGTAGAGTTTGTATAGCATATAATCACTCTAATAGTCATCATAATCTATGGTATCATCTAGTCTAACAATTCTGATGTACACTGAACTTAAATCAAGCTTAAGTGTCAAATAATGAAACATAATCACAGATACCTTTATATCTGTGTGTATTTAGGGTCTTAGTGACTTTCTCTTTTCATGCAACTGTTTCAGTCTTAAATGATTTTCTCTTCTTAAGTATTTTTTTTATCTGTAGAATTTGGATTGGAACTGATAGTAATTATCATAAAAGTTCTTGTAATTTATATTTTATCAATACTAGTTTGATGTGTTTGCAGGGTTGCTGTTGAGTTTAAAAGAAGATATGAAAGACATTTTAAATGACATTTCATCGGTTGTCATCACGTCATAAAGGGAAATGTCAAGTACAAGATATAGTGTATCCTAAGTTATTCTGGAAAAGAAATATTGAGAAACCTGCCATGCTGGAGAGAGAGCCTGGACTTTGTTTTTGACATTTAAGTGATTACACAAAAATTGAACATGTTATTTTGCACACAGAAAAAGAAACCAAAAAAAAAAAAAACCCAAAAAACTGGTGTGAAAGGAAAGCATGTTCATATTTGTGTATTGATCCTGTAATGAGTGAGAGTTTCTGCAATGATAGTTATGAAATTGAGTGGAATATTTATGAAAGTGAAGTGCCAATGAAGTAACAAATATTCTGGATGAATTTGTGGTATTAATGTTACAAGAGGATTGTATACAACACACAATATACAAAGAATTGTTCATCTATTAATTTTGTTATTTTGGTTTTAGTTAAGCTGATATGTTTTGAATTTGTAACATTTCAGATTTCCCAAACTCCTGAAAGTTAACTTAAGATGAAAAATATCAAATGTCTTGTATGAATTTCATCATTTCACTTCAGTTAAATAAAGCTTTGTGCAAGATTGATATAATATTAAAGGATGGTGTGTGAGTGGTATCAGAGAAAGAGAGATCAGGGATATTGTGCGATGTCTAAAAACAGCTACAAGATTTTATGAAATAATCTATCAGATCAGATACACAAGATCCTTTTCTTGCACCTTTTCTGTTGAGTGTCTGTCAGTTATCATTTTCTGACAAAGACTTCTTTTTAATATATCCAGAATTACATAGAGATCTCACATAGGATGAGGAATGATCCTCAATTATAATGATTAAGTTCTTACAATGAACTAAAACAGTTGACAGATCTTATTTATGTATCGAAATGTGTAGGTTGTACCAAATACAAAAGATGTTATCAACAAACCTAAGTTAACAAAACAAGCTTTTGCATATGTATGTTCCTTGTGCAAAATATATTGAGAAAGAATAATGAAAAATAAAAACTTGGAGTCGAATTTTCATACATGATTCAGACATTTCTGTTTCTTTGATTTGTATACAAATTATCTATTATACCTAGTGCAAAACATGTATTTAATGCAAAAGATTACTTCGTGTGAAAGAAAGTATTTTAGTATGTGGTAGAAAATGGATACCTGCATTTATGTTATGGAAAAGCCTGTTGCTGTATATAATGTTGATGAAGCAATAGAATAATAAAAAGATTTACATTAATAAATGTGAAGATTTTACACACACCAGCTGTCAAACTAATTATTCCTCAACTTATGGTTCTTCTCTGGATATGGAAATAGTTTCGGCACTGAAGCTGAGCTAAAGGCAGTAAACACTTTGACTGGCTTTCTCTTCAGAATCACTCTGATTTTCTCACACATAATGTTGTTCAGTTGTAATAATTTGAAACCTTTGTGATGAAATGGATATAAAGTGTGGATACTTAACTTAACATGACTATGATGACTTTTGATTAACTAAGACCACCTTTTATGTAATTACACATGTGTAATGACTTATTCCTTATAACTCAAGAATATTATTGAGGCTGCTGCTTCGGAAATGGTTAAGCCATGTTGATGTGTATTAATCATTATTCTGTAATACTGTACATCATGATACAGAGGTGTTTGTTAGTCAGAACTCTGTATGACCTTATGACATGGGGATGTGGGTTTGTCAGAACTCTGTATGACCTTATGACATTGGGATGTGGGTTAGACAGAACTCTGTATGACCTTATGACATGGGGATGTGGGTTAGTCAGAACTCTGTAAGACCTTATGACATGGGGATGTCGGTTAGTCAGAACTCTGTATGACCTTATGACATGGGGATGTGGGTTAGTCAGAACTCTGTAAGACCTTATGACATTGGGATGTGGGTTAGTCAGAACTCTGTATGACCTTATGACATGGGGATGTGGGTTTGTCAGAACTCTGTATGACCTTATGACATTGGGATGTGGGTTAGTCAGAACTCTGTATGACATTATGACACGGGGATGTCGGTTAGTCATAACTCTGTATGACATTATCTACCTATCTAAATATAAAACGCCCCGATCCAGTTGGCGTGACTAAATTAATGTTTACCGATCATGGCTAAAAGCACTAGGTTGTATACTTAATATACTGTACAGTCACCGGTTAAGTAACTTCAGTCAGATATACAGGACTGATAGTGAAGGGACATTGTTTTAATATTCAGTATGAAAACGCTGGTTTTCGCACCGGTAAATTGAAGTATTAACAGACGTGAAACACACCAACAGGAACGGTAAATTGAAGTATTAACAGACGTGAAACACACCAACAGGAACGGTAAATTGAAGTATTAACAGACGTGAAACACATCAACAGGACTGGTAAATTGAAGTATTAACAGACGTAAAACACATCAACAGGACTGATAAATTGAAGTATTAACAGACGTGAAACACACCAACATGACCGGTAAATTGAAGTATTAACAGACGTGAAACACGCCAACATGACCGGTAAATTGAAGTATTAACAGACCTAGAACACGCCAACAGGACTGGTAAATTGAAGTATTAACAGACGTGAAACACATCAACAGGACTGATAAATTGAAGTATTAACAGACGTGAAACACATCAACAGGACTGATAAATTGAAGTATTAACAGACGTGAAACACGCCAACATGACCGGTAAATTGAAGTATTAACAGACGTAAAACACGCCAACAAGACTGGTAAATTGAAGTATTAACAGACGTGAAACACGCCAACAGGACTGGTAAATTGAAGTATTAACAGACGTAAAACACGCCAACATGACCGGTAAATTGAAGTATTAACAGACGTGAAACACATCAACAGGACTGATAAATTGAAGTATTAACAGACGTGAAACACGCCAACATGACCGGTAAATTTAAGTATTAACAGACGTAAAACACATCAACAGGACTGATAAATTGAAGTATATTAACAGACGTGAAACACACCAACAGGACTGGTAAATTGAAGTATTAACAGACGTAAAACACGCCAACATGACCGGTAAATTGAAGTATTAACAGACGTGAAACACATCAACAGGACTGATAAATTGAAGTATTAACAGACGTGAAACACATCAACAGGACTGATAAATTGAAGTATTAACAGACGTGAAACACACCAACATGACCGGTAAATTGAAGTATTAACAGACGTAAAACACGCCAACAGGACTGGTAAATTGAAGTATTAACAGACGTGAAACACACCAACATGACCGGTAAATTGAAGTATTAACAGACGTGAAACACGCCAACAGGACTGGTAAATTGAAGTATTAACAGAAGCGAAACAAACCAACAGAACCGGTAAATTGAAGTATTAACAGACGTGAAACACACTAACAATATGAGGTCAACGGCCGAAGAAACATTTGACAGATCAGTCGCAAGAAGCTTGGCCGGAGAGTACTGATTATCACAAAATGAACGAGTAAGCTTTCTGTTCATTTTTTCACATTCTTATAGTGGTTTCGTATGCAAATCTTTAAAACAGTCGTGATGAAATAGAATGGTACTGAGGCTAAGAGAGTGAAAGATGAGGTTTCGCTGGAAATTAATTACGTACTTACATTATTTTTACATCGTCTGGAAATAGATCCCTGTCTGGAAATGTCTTGTTTTTAGAATAAAGTGACGTGGTTAAGTTGATTTGAATACGACCTGTAATTTAATCAAAGTACTGTAAGTACCGAGGACACAAAACGACAGAAAAATATTTTAATCGTGATTGATGTGAATGTTAATGTTTTACAAAATAAAGAGTTAAAATATCAATCAAAACAGAGAAGTGTGAAGAGTTACAAGAATAAAATTGAAATTCTGGACATGTAACTGAATATGTTGAATATGCATCAAATATTCCTTACTTATGAATGACATTGTGGAAAATGTGTTTTTTGTTAAGTTTTCCTATAACACGGAGAAAGTGTAATGAGTCTACTTTTGATGTCTAACCACTTCATCATAGTCTGGATACAACACCATGTTGTTGATAGAACCTCTTGATCGTTATGCATTGTCCGTTAACTTTCACATTTTCAGCTTCTAAAGAACCGCTGATCCGATTCAAATCAAACGTGGTCTCTGGCATCAGTAGTCAAAGGCACAAAATTTGAGTTCCTCATTCTCTAGGGTTTACGGCACTGGCAAACACAGTGAACACATGTCATTTTAAATAATTTACTTGAAAACCAATACTTTCTTTTTCTTTTTGCATAGGCATATACATTTGAAAGTTTCAGGAAGTAAAGCAAACATTTTCTTCGCTAGGTTGTAAGATCACATTGTCAAGATCAACACTTTTCTCTAAAATCTTCAACTTTTTGTTTAGGCCATGAATAACAATGCGAAGAGAATGATATGAATATTGTGGTTTAAAAGTAACAGGATCAAAGCTCGGCGACATATAGAAGAAGTAAACTGCCAATTTTCTTCGAATCCGTATATTTTTGTAATTTAGCCAATTTATTTTACATCGCACAAGACATCAAGTCTGTAACCAATATAATTTTCTTAGTGTCACGTGTTGGTAATGTTTAGGCATTTCAGTGTTAGGTTTTTAGGAAACCTGTACCTTGTGAAAAAATACCTGTAGGCGTTGGGATTCCACACTCCGCTATGATGATAAGGTAATACTCAGGTGTGTAGGTTTAAGGGGTTGCTAAGTACGCCATCTTGGATTTCCGTTGCTATAGAAATCCAAGATGGCCGACACCTATGCAACGATCTTTAAAATAACATCGAATTCGTGTCTTTTCATATGTCCGTATCTTTTTCTTTGTTGTGTTGAATCCTCGTTATTTACTAATTCTATGTGTGAGGCTATTCATTTTTTCTTTTCTCTTTCAATTGATTTTATACCCAATCCTCTCGTTACTGTTCTGGCAAAAACACATTAAATTGTAAAATACTTCAATGACTTTACAAGCAAATCTTATACTAAAAATCTATCTGGACTAGCTAAACAAACCTACACAGTTGTGAAAATTTTTTTAATATTCTCATTTTTTAAAATCGATATTAGATTTTTTCAGTGTCCACCGATTAAATCTAACGAAGGTTTGGACAGGGATCTAGTTCTGTAAAAAGCATTCACAAAGCTGAAGAAGGTACCAAATGTTCAGAACGGTGAAACGATCACCTATCCCATCCGTGACTCCTGTCACTAAATCTTCTTCCGCTGGAAAACACAGGTCTTGAACTGCTAATAATGAAAACGCCAGAAACGCTTTCTGTAAAGAAAATAGATAGTGTATGTGCTTGCTAACAGTATTTCTTGTGTTAATAATGGTCATCTCGTTGCAGGTTTCGTATGGTTGAAGGTAAACTCGATGACGATAAAAATGAAATGAAGTCGGTGCTTTTATCCAGAGTTCTGGACAGAAAATTTCACCTTACACAGGAAGTAGTGGATCTCAAAAGGAAAACTTTGTTGATGTATGAATGGTTGATAAATTATGACGATTGTCATGTGTCGATATGGTACATTCTGATATAGATTTAATGTTTATAGATCAACTTGTTACTGTATTGTACCCAGATCAGCCTGTCCCGATAAACAGCCACAACACCATTCTGAACATAACGGAGGCGACTGACTGTCGATCAGGCTTCGTGAATCTAAAGTTACGTCAGTTAGGGTGTAAAGGTCGCTTAGCTTTATGGACAGCAATTATTCGTCTCAAGTGATATCTTCTGGGAAGAAAGCGGCGACTTACTTAGAAGATCAGGCCTAGCTAACGAATGCAACGGCCCGAGCAACAGCGTGGATATGCTTTTAGGTATAGACGTTGTAATTTGTTTCTCGTGTAGCAGCTGGCCAAGAGAGGCAGAAGAATGGGCAACACGTCCGCGGCTTAATGGATGGCCAAGTGCAAATTTGATAGGAAAAATTAAACAAAATGGTTATCACCTTGTCCCCGTAGGAGATAAATGTTCCAACAACACACTATTGGAATGGCGGATAACATTTGTATCAGCAGAGCGATGTTTAGTCCACTCTCTGAGTCACATCCAATTCCAGGTTTACGTCCTGTTGAAATACTTCTTAAAGCAAATCCAAGTTATTGTTCAAGAAACAATTGGCGATAAAGATATACTGTGCTCTTATTTCATGAAAACACTCATATTTTTCGCGGCCGAAAATTCCCATCCGATGTTTTGGCAAGAGAACCTGTTCTACTGTTTTTGGTTTTGCTTTAACATGTTGATCCACTGGGTATGGGTAGGCTACTGTCCAAATTATTTCATTCCTACCAACAACATGTTCCAAAGGAAAGTTCACGGGGAACACCAACGATATTTTAAACAACTATCATGGGATGAAATGGATGTGTCTGTCGCTCGGAAAACTCATCTCTCCTAATTTTGGCAGATCGTTTACTGCCAGGACAAAAGCCGAACTTCAATTTCCTCAA